AGAAAGAACTGGGCACACGAACAGTGGAATGAAAGCCTCCAGGCACCACAGAAGAAAACAGCATGCAGAAAGCTGAAGGACAAAAGGAGAAACAGGTGAAAGCTGCAGAACAAACAGACAAGGTGCACATGTAGAAGCTTAGAGACAAAATTAAGAGAGGCAGGTGGATGTCAGCCATACAAGAGGACTGCACCCATGGAAGAAGTTTCAGTTCTTTGCCACCCAGCAGTATGTTAAATGTTTCAGAAAATTGCAACCCATCTTCTGCGACTATTTTAAAGATGACAACAGCCTTCTACCACTGTAAATTATTCCATAGCTGAACAAAGATAAAAGGAAGAAATTTTTCACCATGAAGGTGGTGAAACACTGGCCCAGGTTGCCCAGAGAGGTGGTAGATGCCCCATCCCTGGAAACATTCAAGGTCAGGTTGGACAGGGCTCTGAGCAGTCTGATCTAGTTGAAGATGTCCCTGCTCACTGCAGGGGGATTGGACTAGATGGCCTTTGGAGGTCCCTTCCAACCCAAAATATTCTATGATTCTATGACAGATCTATGCATGTAAGGCCAAAATACGAGCTCTGCTCAACCTACAGCTACCCAAGAAAAAGGGGTTAGCAGGAAGCAACTTCCAAACCATTCCCTGCCATGACTTGAAGTACCTTCCTTTTGTTAACTGTAACAGAGGCAGCCCCATCATATGATATCTGACTGTCTCACCAAGACTACGTTTCACTTATGACTGCAATACTGATGTCCTACAGACATCACTACAACTGAAAACACAGAATTCCTGATATGGATGCCTACAGTATGATCACAGGAAGGAGAAGGCTTTGACATGGTACCTCCCAGATACATCCCTGAAAAAAAAAAACCGAAGACACCAAAACCACCCCACACTCAAAAAGCTGGACATGTAAAGGCTCCGCAAATTTGCCATTTAGCCCTGTGAAATCACAAGAGGTTTCTGTACAATGGCATTTCCCTTTTGTCTGTTACTATTAAGAACTTAGGTCAAAAGAAGGCTGCAAATTTAAAAATTTTACCTTTCTGTGCACTTGTATCAAAAACAGTCCTTACATTGCCATACATTATTTCCTCCTCAGTGAGGGTCTGCCTCCTTCATCATACAGCACAAGTAATTGCAATTCACGCCCCAATAAAGGATGCTGCAAATAGACTGCGTGTATATCCCTGGCTTACTTTACAGAGGAAGCAGGAAGACAGATGGAAAACGATACCTGCGGGACAAAGATTCTCTCAGTAAGGCCAACTAGAAGTACTGGTATGAGCCAGATCACATCAGGTTTGACTGGCAAAGCAATCAACTGTAGCTTACATTCTGTGCAAAACACTTCGCATTTTTATGGCACTTGACTTGTAAGTGTTTACGAAAAAACTTCAAAAAGCATCCCAAACCTTTGAATACTTGAGAAACTTGAGCCAAAACTAACGTGCACATCACAGACTAACATCACAACTGGAGAATGCAGACTCGAGGTGACTGCGAAGCATTCGAGCAATACACAATGTATGCCAGCACTGCCCATAGGGGCACTGAGATTGTATTTCTTAGAAGATATGAATACTTGCAGAAATTTTTATAATACATGACTACACATGAAATGAAGATAAAAAAATACAAAACAGATTATTTGTTTTTGTAAGCACAGTCCATCCTGAATAAGGCAGGATCCTGAGGGATAAAGTTACATATTCATGTAAATTTAAGAGACCATTACACATACAAAGAGAAGCTAAAGCTGCAACAGCAACTTTAACTTTGACCCTACGATTTCCTATTTGGGATACCATTCCTCCATCTCTGCACTAAGAATGACACCTCCATCCTCCCACCTGGAATCTCTCAGTCCACCTTCAGTAACATTTACAATTATATTACATCACACACATGCACACACATTGCATAATATTGCTACAGTGTATGCTGTATAAATTATGTAAATACACTCCACTTTGTTTCAAAGCAATTCATCTGGATTTACACTTGTCTTATACAGTACACACAGTACCACATTCAAGGATATGCAGCCAGTGAATAATATATAAAAGTCTCACATATCCAAAAGCAAGTAGGTCACTCAACTATTCATATTGTTTGAAGAAGTTATTTAAGCATCCAACTATATAATACAGAGTATTTTATTTATTAACAGTTGCTATAAAAAAAGTCAACAACTCCTCAGCTCTTGTATTCATTCTGCATTAAGAAGTTGCCAATCGTGATCCCATAATTAACTTCCATGTTACCATACAGCTCTAATGTCTCCTGCAAGGTTGATGTGGCAACTTTTTAAATAACCACCACTGTGTAACAAGGGTTTACATTATGCTTTGGACATCAAGAGTGGTAACACACTTCAGACATGATAGACAGACGGGAAATGTCGGGGTAGGTTTATTTTAGCCATGAACCAGCCATGCTGCTTGCTTTCTCAGTAATGCTTTTACCATGAAAAAGTTCAATGCACTGGTTGCAAAGCCTTTCCCAAATATTCCATCTTTGGCACATTTTTCAATTTTATGCATCCTCAAAAGGCATTCCAAGATTTTTTTGATGGTCTGTACATTGTAACAATCGCTTTTTTTACATTTGTATGTAGATCAGGAAGAAAAGTGGAAAATGTAGAGTATGCAGAATAGTTTTAATAAACAGTTTTACATACAGTACCTTACATATAGAACAGTGTGTTTGCAAATTTAAATAATTTTTGAATGTACAGTGGCTTGTACTCTTATCAAAAGGTATTCAAGTTTACTGTCTATCGGTTCTAAAATGCATTTATACAGATAACTAGAACTGATAAACAGACGTGAGGCATAAAATGTTCAAGTATCTTAACGTCATCAGTTAAATAGCCTCCTTTTAACAGTCATATTTTACAAATTTCAAAACCTGTACATACATTATTTTCAATTTTAGAAACTGCGTGTTAAAAGGTAACATTTCATGTTAACCACCAGTTCTAATAGTCTATTGTAATAAAACTAGACATGTGTAGATATAAATGAATATAGTATGTATATATGTACATGTATATCTATACACATACACATACAAGTATGTATGTAGCACTGGGTACAGCGGCAACTTATAAGCGCAGGAAAAGTCCTGGGCTCAAAATCCAGCAAGAGCTAACAGAGCAAGTAGGTTGCCTTTGGTTTCATGACATTTCATTCACTGAAGCTGAAAAGATTTTATAAAACATCTTGGATAACTCATCTTGTGATATTTATTCTAGTGGTTTTGAATATTCACAGCCACAGACAATTTTGCTGCTCTTGTCATTCCTCATCCCAGCTGAGGATGGTAAAGTTTCAGAGGGCCAACACCGAAACAGAGCTACCCAGGACAAAAATTGTACCTTGAATCCTGAATACTGCAGTAGAATATAAAAAAATATAGACTAGATACAATTTTGGAGGACTGCTGGCACCAAGTAGGACTTTGGAAAAAACCTTCATGTAAGTCAGAATCAAACTCTCATTCCAGTGGTTTTAATATTAATTTGGCACATCTGACCACTATTTGCCACTTATGTTTTAAAGGAGCCTAAGGGTGCTGTAGTAAGGATTTCTATTTAAAAAAATACTTTGAAAAGGAGACCATGATAAGTAATTTCTTTCAAAAACCAAAGCTAGTATGTTCAATTTCCTGAACATTCATGAGAAAGAAATAATCTAAAAAAAACTTTCCTTGTAGAGAGGATACAGATCTCTCTGTGTCTATCTTTCACTATCACAAGATAAAAGGAATTCACTAAAAAAGCAGTTCCCAAACGTTTTTAGTCAGTTGAATTCTGTGAATTTAGAATTTTCTGCCGAAGGTTTCAAAATACTAGCATTGTTCTTCGCAGAGTTTTTGTTTGTTCAACTTTATTACATGTGGGGATTTTCTTGTTTAGCATGTTAAAATCCTATCAACGTTTCTCAGCATGTAATATATTACATTTTGAAGCTTGGACATTGAATATTCAGATTTTCAATATAACAGATTCCTTACTCTATGTTTCCTCTCCTCTCTCTAAAGCTTCAGGCTACTATGGTAATCAGCCAAAAGAACCAGATAAATGTTCAGCTTTTTGCTGTCTTCCTGTCAGTCTTGTGGCTAGTAAGAAAATTCACTGTAGAGAACCTATTTTTATTTCTTTATTCTTCCTTTTGTCATACAGAGCAAAGCGTTGCTATTTGCTGTACTTTCCCCATGTCAATTAAGAGCTGTTTGATACGACGCTTGAGCTGAGGCAATCTTGCTAGAGGATCTGGTGGTTCCAGTTCTCCAGTGAAATCAAGCCAGCTTTCTAAAACTACAGAAGGAAAAGGAAGTTGATTAGAATAAGTCTTTGAGAAACAGTTTTCAGAAAAATTAAACTTTTCTTTCTTACTCTGTCTTTTATAAGAAGGGAAAATATACTGAGGCTGTGATTTTTATTTAACAGAAGAAATGTTTATTAGGGAAACACCAACTAATTCCATGTTTCACTCAAATAATCCAAACATATCTTCTGATTGGTTTATTACTATGAAAAGGTACCTGGGAGTAAATTATACCCTTGGCTAACAATTCACCATCTACACACATGAAAGAAACCTCAGTTCATGGCCTTCTAGCTATGACAGTTCTGCAACAGAAAATGCAATCCTTAAATGCAAGGCTTGCTTCTGTCACCTTAACAGGCTCCTGTTTACAAGATCCAGATTACAGAATGGTTTTCCAATCTTCAACAGATGTTTTTTCAAGGAATTTCTATGCTTGTAGAGGCAGAGAAGGGAAAAGGTCAACCCTGTTAGCCTAGAAATACTGCCCAGTGCAAGTAGGAATACTGAAAGTAAAACTGCAAATAGTAATAAAACAACCTTATTTGTCAAAAGATAATTAAGAACTCCTGTGACTAGGCTACAAGCTCCCCTCATTCTTAATTTCTATGACTGGTGAGTAAATTCATATGCTTTAACATTTACTCCTACACTATAGCCTCATTCCAGTTTTCTCATGAAGCCTGATTTGTCTTCCAGAAACCAGTTATTTACTAAGATATAGCAAACCAAAGTTGAAGGCAGAATGAACACACTTTTTTTTTTTTTTTTTTCTCCTAAACACTGTCAAATACTGGAACAATCAGGCCAAAGACACTCCAGGCATAGAAAAATCGACCAACTTTATGATCCATATCTGGACACAGACGAGACAAGTTAGCTAAGCTTCCTGAAGTCTGCCTAATATCACAAACCAGAGCTAAATGTTCAGGGGTCCCGAGTGCTTAAGCTACTTTATTGGGCATTCAAAGCTAGGGGAAGGGGGTAGAGGGATCACAGGTACAAGCTCTGGTTATAATTTTGGGTACCTAAATTTGAATACAATTCTTAAAAATTCATCCTCAGTGCCTCAGATCACCTCCAACACAGTGGCTATAAAAGATGCTGTTACAGGTGTATTAACAAGTATCTGGCAATGCAGTTACCATCAACTTCTTTTTCGATCAGGTCCATTCTGCTGGTGACTTCATTCTGTACATTCTCTATATGGGTAAGTAGATTTAGCTGCCATTGAAGATGTGTGTCCACTTGTTCTTCTGAGCCTTTTCTTTCATTACAAACAAACACAGTGTTTCCTTCAGCAGAATTCTTCTTCATAGGAGCAATAGAAAGAAAAAAAATTGCCATTTAAGAGGTGGGTTTGTTGGGTTTTTTTAGTTTGGTTTGTTTTTTTAATTTCTGGTGTTGATTTCAACACTCGAGTCACATGATAAACTATGCTGGTTTGGAATTACTTCTGTCTATTTAACAAAAAGCATACTCAAAAAGCCATGTACCTTGACACATCAATAGACTAAACCAAACAAAATGCAAATTCCATACAAACGAGCGTGTACAGCAGTGGGGGGAGTTAGGCAAGAGGTTAACTTTACCAGCTGAAGCACTTTAACACAGTAAGACAGACTGCATTTCTGTGCTCTTTTTATATACATCGTGACTTAAATCATGAAGTGCTGAACTGCATTGGTCTACCGTCACCAAAAATGTGCAAACCCCTACGGTTTGTTTCAACTTTAGCCAGACAATGAAGGAAAAGTCCTTAAAATGCAGTAATAGCCAAGATGTCAAAAGTCACCATTTTGCACAAATAAGCTGGCCAATGATTTGTTGATTGAGACAAAAGACTTCTCCTCCTACCATTACTGTGGGCCCATGCAACTTGCAAGAACAAGCCTGGGACAGAATTGAACATGTCTGGGGATAAGTTACATGGACAGTAACATGCAGAGTTATGCAAACATAATATCTGAGGAAGATTGACTTCTCTGAAATAATTACCATCTTCATAGCAAGTTGGAGGGAATACACAAGTTCCTCATCTTTCTGTATTTGGCATTTCAGCTAATGGAAGTGACCAAAGGAACTATACCGGACTTAATGAGTTAACATGTTCAGCATCTCCATTAATTAGCAGGATTCACAGTTTCCATTTTATACCTGCTATGACTTCATATCTGACACAGTTCTTTCACTACCGATGATTCTATTTTAAGGACTAAAATGCTGGATATGTGTGCTCACACAGTATCAATTCATGGCAAATGCCAGAGCAAGGAGTGAATTTTGTCGTATTAATACACTTCTCTCTGACGAATTCATCTCTCTGATGATCTCGGCTAATTTTTTCCACGTCACAAAACAGACAACACCATTTTTTTCTTAGAGTATTTCTTCCCCAGCCAAGAACAGGAAGAGTCAAGAAAGGGGAGAAGAAGAAAATAGGGACTGATGGATTTTAAGTTACTTCTTAGAGCAAAAAAAGTAACTTTCTTTTTAAGACTTAAAGTCAATTGGAAAAAAAAAAAATCAAACTTGGACCAACCTGCTGGCACCTTTATGAGTGTGTTCTTGAGGCCAAGTATTGTTAATACCCACAACAGTCAATGGAGTTATTTATCAAATATAGGTTTTAAAAGTCATAAAAGTCTCTAAACTCTCAAACCTTACAGATAAAATCTTTCATCTCTCAAGACATCAGGTTTGCTCCACGGTGTTTTTAATATTCTGTTATTAATCTTTATAAAGGATATTTCCAACATAAATAAGAAATGACCCATTTCTTACAATTTTCAGACCCTCTCTAAAACCACGAGACCATCACCACCGTTTCTCCCTTGCTGTATGAGGGTCCAAGGCCATAATTCTAAACCCAAGATCATGTGTTAGATGATTCTTTTAGATGCCCACTGCAGTAAGTTGAGAGAAAATCTTAAAGCTAAATAACAGCATCGTCAAAGATTTTTTTTTTCCCTTTTAATGACCTCTATATTTATTCAAATGGCTAGTAAATGCTCCTTGAAAAATTAAACACAAGATCAAACAGGTCCTACTCTAACCTAAGAGATAAATGCAGGTAATCAGGGAATGATGGCAGAGGTGGTAAGAGAGGCAGAGTACAGGATCCAGCTTGTGAGGAAGAAATGAACAGGAGGCTCAGGTGGGAGAGGCTCGTGGTTTCAGAAGCAAGAACAAGGAAACTAAATACAATTTTAAAAGGTGATGCATAGTCCAAAAAGGAACTTAACAGTCTATCTGAACACTGTTTATAAGAGAAAAGATGATATGCAACAGAATTGTAGATTAGGATAAAACAAAACAGTATGGAAAACTGGAATATTGAAGGCTCTGTAGGATGCTAGAAGGGAGAATCCAAAGCCTCAATCAAAACTTTGACAAGCAGAGATGAAGAAAGCACCTTACAGAGAAGTCAGTTCATGTAAAAATGGCACTTGAACATCAGTGTCACCATGGTTTTACATTTAAATACAAACAGGTTCACGGTGAAACTCAGGAGAGCTTTTCAATGTGTAGTAAGTCTAAACAGAGAGCCTTGTTTCAGATATCAAGGCTGACTACAAGGTGAACTAAGGTGTCCTAAAGGAAAGAGTACTCTGACACTGCCCCAAACAGATCTCTTCCTGGTTTAAAATAGGGAGCACCCAACTTTTTAGATATATGCTTTAGTCTCTGAAGGAAACCTTAGTTTTATTTCACTGCTCACACATGTTTTCTTTTACTTCTAAATGTATTTTACTATTTACAATGACAATTTAAGCTACTGTGGGAAGTGTATATCATACTGCTGCATGTCTCCTTACTACACAAAGGGAGTATAATCATGCGATTTAGCATACAGTTATTTCTAACTAGAATGAGCCAAAATTTTCCATTCAGACTATAAAGTCTACATGCCACATTTAAAACTAAAGTTAAAAGAAAAAAAAACAAACTTATCTTACTCATTTCTTCCAGAAATTGTACTTCAAAAAGGGGATGAGTTGGGTGATTTAGTCTCACACAGTTGATATCGTAGAAAACAGAAAGGTTTGTTTTACTTTGTTTTTTTGCTCAAAAAGAACTCCTCGCTAAAACCAGACTAACAAATTTCAGACCTTTTCCACAAAGTAACACATTCAAACCATTAATGCGACATGAGAGAGAGATGTTTAACTAGGCAAATATAATCCTGACTAAAAACCTGTGAAACATTTAATTAGAAAAAATATGCAATACAAAAGACTCAAAAGAAGTTGCACATGAGGTAAAATTAGTTGGTCAGTAGATCATTACCTGTGGACAGATTCTAGTAGAGCTATTAAAAGAAGAATATGGTACAATAATAAACACTATTACAAACCTCAGTTTAACAAAAAACAACAAAAAACCCCACACGTAGAAAACAGAATTGAGAGAAAAAAGGAAGCTTGCCCCGTTTTCCTCACCTTACAAAAAACACCTTCAAGACCCTGCATTTTAAGAATAAGATTTCCTCTCCCACCCCCCCAAAACACTGGACTGAGCATAAACAGTTTCAGCATAGGCAATACTGTAACCATATTTCGCATTTCATTCACCAATTGAAATGGGTATACTTCACCTGAAACTATTTCAGTGATCCAACTTTGATTCCAGTGATTTCTGCTGACTTATTTGATAGAATATGTTGGATTATAACAATGAACATTTGTAAGTACTTGCATGTGCTTGAGTTTTATCAGATTGAACATATTTTTCCAACTCAGAAACTTCCCAGATGAAGAACAATACTTACCTGCTCGTTCATGCCATCATCTTTAAAAGAATATTGTAAACAGTTTTTATTCTCTGTATGAAATTCCTGATCTTCCTCAAAACTACTTGTATCTTCATCATCTGAGCTCATAGGGTCAGTGACTGCTTTGCAGTCTTGACCGAAACTCTGTGGTTTTTGGTAACTGTGCTCACTTGTGATGTATGTTTCTTCCATCTTCTGGGGTATGCTGGGCGGCTCTCTATGGTTTTGACTGTGACACGTCCGTTCAGTTGGATTAACAGCATCCGGCAAAGTCACTAATTTTTTCTCTACCCCAACAGTTATTTGTTCTTGTTCTTTTCGCATCCCTGAATAAGCCCAGAGATGAAGGTCTGGGTGATGCTTATTTCTGCAGCAAAGGGGGGGGAAAAAAACAAGTTACAGACAATACCATTTACAGCACTGAACTATTAAGCATCCACTTCTGCTAGACCACAGCTATTGATAAGCACCATTATAAAACATGTAATGATTCCTAGGTCACTTCTCAATTTAGGATAAATCCAGAATATCCCTTTAACAAAAAAATGCCTATAATTATAAAAAAAAAAATCACCAATAATCCCAAAATATACCGGATCTCCTCAGGTGCTGAACTCCCACTGAAGCTGAGGGTACTCTACATCTTGCACTGGAATGGTTTAAGCTATTATACAAGAAAACTTTAACGTGAGAGAATAATGCATATGGAATAATGGTAGTCTCTGCTACCTAAAGATGGAGACTAAACCGAGGACTCATACTTACTTTAATATCCCAATCTTTAACTGAAGTCCATGCAATATTTCAGTTACACCATATACATCTGCCAGTAGGTGATGTGTTGATACAATCTTTTTGGCATTAAGATGAGAGTAGTTTTCTTTCAAAAATGATAATCCACACATGTGTCCATTGTTTAGCCAGTCTTTATCATAAAGATATTTGGCACTCCACCTCTGACCTGGGGTAAGCAATAAACACACTGAGGGCAACAGCAGAATTTATTTAAAACTAGTGCTATAATTATATGCTATACTCTGCTAAATGTCTCCTAACATCCATGAAAGAATGATATAAGATCTTGCTATTATATTAAATTTTAGTTTTCATGGATTAAGAGGAAACTCTAAACACTTATGAAAACAAAAATAAACCTGAAATGTCAAGACCTCTCTAAATGGCATTTGAAATGAAAATCTAATCACCTTTGCAATCAAAGTACAGGATATTAAGAACTGTGTTATTATCAATCTAACTGCAAAAAAAAAAATTTAACTTGGCATTTTATTTATTTAACTATTGCAGCTTACTTTAAAAGAAAACCTAAGTCACCAAGAAAAATGTTACAGAGTAGATTTTACATGGACATATCCAGAACACCTAGTTGTTTCTAAAAGACGAATAATTTGCTTCAATACTGAAGTCAGTATCTATTTATTAGAAGCCAGGAGAAGGCTTCATGAAAAGCAGACATTTCAAAGTCAGCTGACAGCAGAGTTCTTACACCCTCCTTTGAGGTGCCTTTTACCAGACACTACTAGACAGGATATTGATGGAGGTGGGCTTTAGGTCTCCCGTGCTACGGCAACATCTACAATTTTAACCCAAATAGGCATGAATGAGTATTTAGCTAATGCTTCTACAGTAACTTAATAACTATTAAAAAAAAAAAATCAAAAACAAACAAACCACAAAAAAAAACCAAAACCAAAAACAAAAACAGAACTAGAAATATATAATGCTAATTATTCCATTATTTTTTTTACAACGAGGAACCCAGACAAACAGACTGACTAAGACCGCAATATCTTACACTCAATTTCATATCAGACTATCATCATATACAGAACAAAGAATGGGTTGATGGAAGCCCTTCATACCTTTCAGGAGAATACCCTGTCTATCTCCTTTCTGCCCATTATCCCAATACACTTTAAAATACTGACATTGTGAATGACCTTTTTCTCCTGACATAGAAAGAAAAGAAGTAATGGTTAGGAAGGGAGAGAAGATAAAAATTAGGGACACAGTCTCTGCATAGCAGGGGATAATGAAGTACCTAGTACAGTGCAAGGAAAGAACACAAGACAAATTAGTTGGTTTTAATAAGAAAAAGCTTGACTGCTCAAAGAATGTACCACAGAACTACTAAACAAGACTCTATACCATCAATTTAGATTCAGATTGGGGCAAGTGTCCTATCTGTTCAGCTCTATTTTCCTAAATTTTCTTCCCAAAAATAACTAATAAAAAACTGTGCTATTTTATACCTCTGCAAAGAGTTTTCAGGTTTCATTTCTTAAATTCACAATGAAAGTAAATTTGGGGGTGTAGTCTCATTGCTCTTTTGAAACAGCGAGACTGTTGGATACTTCACCAGAAGACATGTACACGCATTTGTATCAATTGTCAGGACAAATACTGAAATCTTTCTTCCAAATCGTATAGTTTTTCTCCAAATAACTGCTAAGAAAAACGGGTTTATGGACAGAATAATTTTTAAACCAACATCATGCTAATCTAATGTATTCAGTTTAGAAGTAAACAGACTTCTCCTAATTCTTACCATTTCAAACTTATCCTAACAATCTTAAGTTAAAGATGTGCTCTATGAGTGCTATTGTTTACCATAAAAAGTGTTAGATTCTTTTCATATTTTACACATTTGGTTCCACATCTTTATTCACACAATTCTGGACAAATGCAAACATTATAAAATTGCAACTAATATGAAGTGATATCCACAGCATATCTGAGTGTACTCTAAGACCCTTTTCTCTAAAAAATATTTGAATGAACAGATATGATTCCAAGAACAATTTGTTTAGAAAGACTTTCCAGACCACACTGACATGAAAAAGTGCTCAGGTTTTGAGGGAATTAAGTTTCAACAACTAAAGCGATGGTAATTAAGATCATGAATAAGATTTAGCATAGCTGAATAAGATGTTACTAAGAGGAAAGTAAGTTTCTGCTCAGAGCCAGACTTAGAAGCACTTGCCCCAAAGAAGTAAAACAGATAACACAAAACAGACAAAGCTTTAACAATTTAAGCAATGCATAACATCTCTGCTTGAAAATCCCAAGCAGCCAGCTGCAGATAAAGGTGGTTTACCCGTACCTGGTGGATCTCTGCAGATATAACAGATGTACTGCTCTGGAATGCTGTCCTCTAACAGTCCCATGCATACGCTGTGCTGCCAACACAAGCACTCTTCACACTGACATCAGAAAAAAACGAAAGCAAAAACTAAAACTGAGATAAGTAGATTCAAAAAAATCAGAAGCTATTTCTTGTATCGTCAAAATGCAGAGAACAGCAGTTTAACTTAAACAGCTGGTTTGAGTAGATTATTTTAGTTGGGCAATTTGTGTTTGGGTACGCAAAAACGTCAAGCTAAAAAATAGCTCTAGTTCTGAAAGTTACCTCAACCACAAATTCCAGACTGGAAAAAAAAAAAAAAATTGAAGATGTAATATTTAATAATATTTTATTACAACATTCAGTATTTTAGCACCTAAATATTTACTAGTGAAATATAAGACAGGAGTATAATATTACAGTAAAGTAGAAAGATAATGGAATACATTACAGCATAACAGTGAAAAGTAGAAAACTCTTCAGTTTAATTATTTATATTTACAAAGCATCTCTCCAGTGCGCTAGAAAGATGTGCTTTTAATATCGCACCAATGGAAAATCTAAAAGAAAAAGAAAATGAAGAGAAAATGAAAGAGGAGAAACAAGAGAATAGGAGAGCAAAATAGAAGACATGAGGGCCTAGAAACAGCAAGCTGGTTGCTCTCTGTGAGACAGGGCATGAAGAAGAAAAATCAGGCTGTCATTGGACTTTAGAAATGGGCAGGAAACTACCACTTAAAAATATATTTCCCTTTCTCAACTCAGCATTTGCCTGTGTTTTAAATACCTGCTGGTTTACTACTGAAAAAGTCTCTCCTCTTTGCTTTGACATGCTTTTGGAGCATATCAACCTATTCAAAACACTGAAGTCACTTTTCCTCTTGACATGCCACTATGGCTACAGTTTCCCCTCCTCTCTCCGAAGATTGCTACACCAGTCCATTTTTCCACATTATCAGCACAGCTGAACTCCTGCTTAGTTCCTCCAACACAGCACTGCATTTCAGTAATGTGTTTCCAGGGACAGTCTGTGTCCTTCATTTTCAGGTCTTTCTGTCATTTACAGAAGACTTTAAGTCCATTAACACAAGACAGTCATACTACCTTCCTTCAAATCTCAACTAAAAAGGCTCCGTATTTTCAACAGAAACTACCACATTAATAGTTGAATACAAACCTGGTTTTTGAGTGGGGAAAAAACACCACAGGAAGTTCATGGCTTTTTTAAAATTATTGACAAGTCAGTTCTTCCTCATTCTTGCTTGCATTTGATCTAATTGCTATATTATGAATTCCTTGAGATAAAACTTTAAATTATTCATTACTAGATGGGAAATGCTCCCCTCATTGGAGCACAAATAAATAAGCAGCTTTAGCTGCAACCCATCAGCACCTGAACACCATGTAGACACTGTATATTCTTCTTCCCCTTTTTTTTTCCTACCAAATAAGATTTAAAATTCTTAGCAGTTTCTAAAACCAGTTAGTGATTTCTAGTTTGAGAGCTGCTGTTCTAAAGATGAAGCACACACATCACAGTTACTGATGATATTAATGTCTGTACAGCAGAGATCTTGGATACAGATGAGGTACATCTACAGTGAGCAGAGTGGTAGCTACAATTGGTACTGCAAAGCAAAGGGCCAGACCAGAAGGGCAGATACAATTGGGATGTTCTGCAGACAGGAGCGATTATTTATATACAGGGAAGGATACTTTATTCCAAATTTATCAACTGGCTATAAAGAAAAAGGTTACTTTTCCTTACAAACCTGTTCTATGTATCGAATTGCTAGAGAAACCCCATCCTAAAGTAATAGTTCTGTATACACCGAATAGAGCCATGCCAGGTGCAGAAGAGCACAGAAATATTTTGGTATTGGTCACTTCTATTTACAGCTCTCTACATCACCTCCATCTCCAACACATTAAAAGTGCACCTTCACAAGCAAGACATTCACATGGAAAAAATACATCCCCCCGCTAAATTTCTTTACCTGAATCATAAAGCCATTCTCTTCGTCCAGTTCACAAATGCATCTAACAATTTCATTGAGAGCATCATCTTCATCCTGAGACTCTTCAAAGTTCGTTGAATCAAAATCCTGATTGTATTCGTCACCACTAAGTAACAAACTCTCTGTAGAGGAATCATCCAAGAACTCCACATCTGAAAGGTCTAGTAAAAATAACTACATGTGAAACTGTGTGTGCAGAGACGCAATACTTTACATGGGGCTTTGGCAGTTAAAAATTTTAACCTGCATATAGCAAAAAAAAAAAATGCTCTCCAACACACCGCTGATATATTAGATTTCTTGGTGAATTCTGCAAAATGCCTTTTATGTGATCTCCTCAGAAGCAGAGCAACAACACTTAATTATTTATATTTCCAAAGCAAATAAAATGAGGGACAGCTTGAGGAGTGTAAGCATTTTGATTTAAATAGAAGAAGTATAGATCAGTCACTGTATTTATAGCTACAATCCCAAACATAAGCCAAATAATTTCCTTTAATATTCTCTTTCTTAAAGAATTAAACCTACAAACTCAAAATTGCTGTTCAGCCAACCTACTTTCTCCACTAAGGTCAACAGACAAGATAGCTCTTGGATACTGGTATGATGTATTCTTCTCTGAGAACATGCTGCGCAAAGTCAGAGAGCTCCCTGAGGACCGTGTTAATGGAGAGGAGCACCTGTCCAAGAATTCAACAGAACTATCTTCATAATCTGAATAATCTGAAAAGTTAAAAGAAAATAAGTTGCTGTTACAAAAGCAAGTAAGTTTTTGACAAATGAAAAAAAAGTAAGCATACTGCAACATTATGTTCAGAAGAACATCAACATTGAGATATTAAGATTATGAAACTGTAAACATCAAATGGCAAAAGCTCTTCATAACATATTTCAGAGAAAAAAAAATTCCAGTACGAAACATAATGGAAGTTTAATAGCTAAGACAAGCATTACTCATTTAACTCCCCTCTCCCCCTCACCTCTGAATGTAAAGAGGAATCATTTTTCCTATAACATTATACAGTCTTTTTTTCCCCACAATTCATCCTGTACCATCTGCTATCCTTAGAGATGCTGCTAGTAGCTCTCTTTTTCCCTTAGGTCTGTTGGTATCACTACCAACATTGCTACCTAGAAGTAACTGCAGACTGTCCTGTCAGGTTCAGTGATAAAAGCTTGTCTGCACAGCTGCAGAAAAGCAGAGGGACTCCCCAAAAAACCCTCCCGGGATGATCCCAGGCCCATCCCAGGAGTCATCAGCCATTGACAGGCCAAGGGCTCCTGGGATGGATCCAGGAGCATCATACAATCAGGATCATTTAAGTTCGAAAAGACCTTTAAGATCGTCAAGTCCAACCGTAAACCTAACACTGCCAAGCATCCCAGCAGGGTATGCAGAAGCCCAGAGGAGCACGATGGGCAGGCAAACAACAAGCACCCCCTGCCCAGGCCCCTGCCAGGGCTGACCAGCAGCTCCATCACCCCCATTATCCAGGCGTGAAACCCAGCAGGGTGCATTGCCCCGAGCAGCTCTCTGGATCACCTTTGGGACTAAGCTGGGGTTGCAGCCCGGGGCTGGGACATAGGAGGAAAGTATTTTGGCATTGCACAAGACTTATTATGGAATGTTTAAGGACGGAACCAAAGGTGGGGAAAATGGATGGATCTAAGTGTTTTGGGGAGGAACAAGCGTAAGGAAAAGAGAGGAAGAAGGGGATAAAAAGGGCCAGTCGTGCATAAATAGTCTGCTGGTCAATACACTTGCCTGGCCTTGCCCTGCAGCTGATCAGCAGAGTTTGTCCTATCTGCGCTGGCAGGGGTGGTGGAGTCTCCCTCCTTGGAGATATTCAGAAGCTGACTGGACATAGTCCTGGGCAACCGGCTCGAGGTGGCCGTGCTTGCGTGGGGATGTTGGACCAGAGGACGTCCAGAGGTCCTTTCCAACCTCAGCCATTCCATAATACTTATTAAACCCCATTTCTAACCCTTACCCAGGGAAGCAGCGCTCTATTCAGTGTGCAGGTGTGCGTACAGGGGTCTGAGTGCCAGCCAGTGTATTCAGACCACAGGTCGAAGGGCCCACGGGTCTCTGGTGCCAGCACCCTGGGAGGCTGGAGTGAGCAACAGCCACGTGTGAGGGATCCCTGGTCACAGGGGCCCATGAGTTCATGTTGCAGTGCCTGGAGCCGGTGCCAGTGTCTGCTTGTTAGCAGAGATCAAGCTGGACCAGCTGGTGAGCAGGTGAAGTGGCCTGGGAGCAAGAGGTGAGCGGGTCTGCAAGGGCCAGCTCTGGGTGCGAGTGCCTCTCTAAGGGTGAGCGCCATGTGGGGCTACGGGAATCTGGGGAGCCCCGGCCAACTCTGGGAGCGTGCGAGCGTGCAGATGAGTGGGACGGTCTGTACTGCAGAGGGGCTGCGGTCCCAGCGGCTCATATCTCTAGATGCCAGCATCTAGAAAGAATGGGATCCAGAGGCAGATACTGGGCAGACAGTGTCTGAACGCAGCTGCCGCAGGGATCCACACTGTACGTGTATAACTACATCTATAGAGAGATATATCTGTCTGTTCTCACCAGTAGACCCCCATCCTGCTCAGCCAGAGAGGGGAGCAGGATGAGGCTGTTCGAGCATGCACACAAGCACAGAGAGCACCACGTGCTTGTGCCTACTGGTAAAAACACAGTACTGACATACTGATACCAGCATGATATATTTTCCTCTAACATATACTATTTGCAACAGTCTCAAGGAAAACATTTGCGTACCTGTCCTTAATCACAGTGACTGCAGAGACTGTCCCAGGTAAGTCATGGAATTACAAATCATAGAGTGGTTTGGGCTGGAAGGGACTTTAAAGATCATCTAGTTCTAACCACCCTGCCCTGGGCAGGGACACCTTCCACTAGACACGGTTGCTCAAAGCCCCATCCAACCTGGCCTTGAACACTTCCAGGGTGGGAACATGCACAACTTCTCTGGGCAACCTATTCCAGTGTCTCATCACCATCACAGTAAAGAATTTCTTTCTAATAGCTAGTCTAAATCTACCCTCTTTCAGTTTAAAAGTTACCTCTTGTCCTATCACTACATCCTTGATAAAGAGTCCGTCTCCACCCTTTCTGTAGGCCCCCTTTAAGTATTGGAAGGCTGCTATAAGGTCTTCCCAGAGCATCTTTTCTAGGTTAAACAGCCTCAGTCTGTCCTCGTAGCGGAGGTGCTCTAGCCCCCTGCTCATCTTTGTGGCCCTCCTCTGGACCTGCTTGAGCAGGTACATGTCTGTCTTATGCTGGTCAAATGATAATTAAGAGTAGCTATCCATTTACTCCTCTTAAAACTTATTACTTCAAATATAAGTGAGTAACCAGATTTCCACACTTTACTGGAAGAAACACTCCCGCCACCACCTGTATCTACAGTTTTGTTGCAATGGTTTCCACAACATGCTTCTCTCCTAAATACCTTCCATAAAGCCACTGTTACCATCTACCACATTTCCTAAGTATATTCACTGTAAGGGAGTCAACTCAATCAGTAGTTTACTTCATGTTGCATTGCTATCAACCTCACTGTAACAGAACACCATAAATTAGAGAAATTGCCTAAAACCCATATAACACAGAAGGTAGGTAAACAGTCAATCATGCATATACTCAGAGCACAAAAAAAAGTTTTTGTTGGGATTTTTTGTTTGTTTTAACGCCTTGCACAAAACTTATCTGGAGCACACAATGTGCCTGCTCCCTCTTCTTCCCCAAGATGCCTCAATTTGATTTCAAAGGAAGAGAGCATGCCTCATGCCCTTTCATTTCTGCCCATGTCCTGAGTGGAGTGAGCTAGTCCTGGAGAAAGGGAAAACTGCGTCTTCTGACAGATCATTTTTCAATGTGCTCTTTCAGGGTCAGACACTGGAGTCAGAATCTGCCAAAGTATTTTTCTTTTTTCCCTAGTTACAAAAAAAAAAAATCCAGGCAGAGTACCTTTGGACTGCTAGAAACAGATTTTCACAAGGTGAATTTGCAAAGAATAAAATGCCCAAATTTTATGCACACTGTTTTCTGCATCTGGATTTAAGATTTCTATTTTTTGGGGCATTAGGAGGTATATAGTTTTCTCCTAATATTTAAAGCATTGGATATGGCCCCCAGAAGTTGGAACCTAATCATGGTACCTCTGACAAGCTTTTAAGTTTCAAGACAAGTTGTCAAAAAAACCAAAGGAATAAAAAGAATTAAAGAAAAAAACAACACACGACAAACCACCTTACGACCTCAGCAAGATAAAAACCAAAGGACAATACTGGGCACAAGAACACAGCTCTGATGTTACTTTGCAAGAGGTACTCTGTGTGAATCACTCTGGATGAATAGGGTTTGCAGAACCCATTGCACGTCGGAGCTGTATGGAGCCACAGAACCAAGTGCACCCTGGATGGCCTGAAGCTTTAGGCTCTCTGATCTCAAGCCCAGCGCTTCACAAAACAGCAAATATCTCAGCAAAAAACAGCAAAAAAAAAGTTCACATGCTCAGATGCGAACCACCAGTCTGACCAACTCCTCCCACACCTTCTAAATTGTGTGCTGCATCAGCCTTTTCTGACAATTCATCTAAATTCCGAGATTCAACACCAAACATGACAGACAACTTCTCTATTCACCTCTTTGGAGCTATATGAAACAGGAGGCTTGGGGAAACGCTATGTCAACATTTCCCCATTACAAAATATACATCTGTAGTTTTGAACTTATTTCAAATCTGTAGCTTAATTTGTTACCTATTAAAACAGCTCTGCTTAAAAGATCTTTTTTCAAATACTTCAATCATTATTCTGTTTATTTTTAAGCAAGTTCTTTTTCAAACACTTTTATACCAACACTCAGTGTCATATACTCAAAGGATAGAAGAGCTATAAAACATTTTTCTCACTCTTAGCAAGCTGCACTGAGAGTGCTGCTGGGGATATTGCTGTACACAAGGTGATGGCACATTACTTCGAAACATCTTCCTAAAAACAGAACCTGTGGAGAGTATTAACTCGCTCTGCCATGTTTTACTAATCACAGATGAAGTAGCCAGGACTGCTCAGGGTTTTGGGGTTTTTGTTCTTTTTTTGGCTCTTGCATACCTTTACCAGCACCTTCTTGCAAATACTTCAACACCTTCTCAGTACAAGTAAAACACTCCCAGTAATTTTTAGATAAAATAAGCAATTGAAGTTTATAGTTTAAATTATATTACTCCAATATAAAGACGGTGAAGCACATGATACCTAGATTATTGCAGTTCATCTTCAAGCACTCCATGATTTCATGATTTGTCAGCATTTTCATGTTATAGCACAACTTTTGGACAGACAAACACATAATCACTCTAAAGATCCACAAGGCATCTTTAAAAGTCTGTGGTCAGAAGCTCCTTTTAATGCATATGTTTTTTCCACAGGCTCTTGAGGAAAAATTTCTAAAAAATTCTTTGATAGGTTTTAAATTTTCACCTTCTCGTATTTTAAAAAATTTTAATCAAAGTTATTACGACTGATATCCAGTAAAGTACACAAAAGTTAAGCCAACCTGACAGGCATAGAAAGGACAGTCTATCATTTTTAAAATTCTGAATATTTAAAGATATTCTCAAGACAAACAAACAAACAAAACCCACAAAAAACAAACAACCAGCAGCAAGGTATAAATAAGTAGTAGTATTTTAAGCCCTAAAACACTGTTTGAAGTAAGCAGGCATAGTACACGAAAACTCAAGTTCAGTCTTTGGCAAGAAGAAGAGACAGAATGAGTCTGTATTTGTCCATGCTGTTATTTTTATTGCCATAATGCTGCAACTAAGACTGCACTGGATGCATGAAAAGGTAAACGAAGGAACCTGTATAATGTGATTTTACAGGAGATTAAAAGAACAAAAGGATGTGGAAGAGGGTAAGAAATACAAAGAAACAGTAAAACTGTACTGGTCAGCAGGATAGTTATCTTTTTATTAAAAAAAGAAAACCCAAACATTGTCCAGTTTTTCCACAGAAATCAGGCCAAGGAGAGTTACAGAAGGCATGGTGCTAAAACTTTAAACCACATTCTTAACAGGAGTACTTCTCAAATAAGGAAAAAAAAAAAAGCACAGAGCGGTTTGAAAGGGGTTTTTTGTTAAAAAAGCACAAGCTACTTAGAAATTACAAGTTACTTACAAATTATTTTTGTCCCTCTAGGGAATGGAAATAACAAAGAAAAGAAAAAGATGAGTGATATGATCCAAGAATTGGAGTAGGGGAGGTAGGGGAGTGAGACAAAGGCAAATGGAATCACCCTTTGTCAAGACAACAGACCAGACTGTTGCAGCAAAGACACCAACCTCAGCTGTTAAGGATTAATTGTTAAGGTGGGGCTGCATTTTATACAGTAAACCACTGAAATTCAGCTACAGACTAAATACTAGAACAGTTTTAATGTCCAAGCAAAATAGGTAGGGTGTGTATACAGAGCTTCAAACAACGAATTTAAAGAGATGAGAAGAGCGAGCATACCTTTTGAAGGAAGAAAAAACATCTATGAAATACCTATGTCTATCAAGGAGAGACAGACTATAAACACAAAAATAAGGTCATAGACCTAAGTGTCTTTTCAACATTTAAAGACAAAGCTTATTCTTTGAAACTTCTAAAATTTGACATTCATATTGCTTAGAAACAAGTTTTAATATCTAATGCCAGAAATACACTGAGTGGTTTTGCTTATTCTAAAAAAAAGGAAACTGAACTTACCATGCTGTTTAGATTTCTTCTTTTTTTTCTTCTTCTTTTTCTGTTTTGATTTATGATCTTTCTCTTTTTTCTCTTTTTTCTCCTTTTCCTTTTCTTTCTTTTTACCTGAAATAAAAATTAAATATTTTAAAACAGCAATACCATTCCAAATTACTTGCTTCATTTGGCTTAACTGAAACATGACGTTCAAAATCAAGTATTCCAGCTGCCTAGTCACATCAAAATGCTTCCATTAATTTACTTGATAACTTGGGCATGTCTCTTATTAATTGCTCATAGAATGGTTCAAAGGAATCTCTCTCAACAAGTAACATTTTACCATTTTAAGTATTTCCGAATGAAATATCCTAGCATAAGATACAGAAAAGCACACAAAATAAGTGACATTATTTAAATAGCTTATAACATTTGTTTTACTTACAGCTTACAAGAAAAAGGTTTGGGCAAGAGAAAAAGCTTTCAAAAATGCAAAATTCCAAACTAAAAAGATAACACAGTCTTAAAAACACATATTAGGCCTACAGAAAGTCATTTGAAGAAAACTTCAGTATCACAAAACTGCTGATGCTGTCAGCACTTTCTACTACACAGTGACATCCTCATAGAAAACTGAGTCTGACTGAAATTTATTATACCTTTTTTTACACTGCACTTCACTTCTAACCCCTGTTGGCATATGCATGAGGACAAGTACTTGGTGTCAGAAAAATTCTATTTATCCTGTTAATTCTCCCCAGACAAAACACATGCCACAACATTGTCACTTCATAATAATTTTCTAAGTAATCAGCAGTGAGAAAAATAATGATGAAATTTACTTGTTACAGAAAATAAATCCTTAAAGTCAGTATTGAAGGATTGTTTTCTGCACACAAATTGGGGTGTTATTATCTTCCTGGCGAATACAGAAAAAGAACTTTTACCTCCTGGAAAAACAAGGCAGAATCACTTATGAATTTATGTCCATCACTAATAATTGTTTGTTGGTTTTCTTTTATAAAACACATGATAAAACCAAAGCCCTCTTAATTTATATTTTCCTTCAAGAATTGCCAAATGTTTTGCTATTAACACTTAGCCGTTTTCTCCTCCCCCACAAACAGTCAGTACAAGAAATAAAAAGGCAGTATCACCAATTCAACTTAAAAAAAAGAAAAAAAAGCTTTATTTTTTCCAGGCCTCTCATAGGTACTTTTGGATCTGTCCAAATCCTTGCTATGGGCACTTTCATTTTTTCTTATAAAAGTATTCTTCTACTGTAAACTAATCATAATATATAAAAACTGTTTTTAAGACCTGAACAGACAGAAGAAGTGCATCTGGGCCCAGGAAATATTTTACGCTTTTACGTTTGCTCTTCAGAGACATCAAGTGTTACAGAACTTTTCCTTTTTTCCTAAAAATATTATTGCTCTGTACATACCATATGTTGAAATACTTTTCTCTTCCAGTTTTCCTTTTCTTTCCATTCTCACTGCACCTGCAAATTGAAGAAGAATATATGACATAAGTGCAATGTCTGGCTGATGACCCACTTTCTTGTAAAAGTCATTAGACCATAAAAAGTCCTAATGGTACATAAAAATAAGAAACATACAAACAATAAAATTATTTTTAATGTCACTTAACAATAATTTTTATTGTCTAAAGCACTGGAAACAAAAAGTATTGTAGTTTACCAACTTCTGAATGCTTGTCCTTCTCAATCACGTTCTTTAATATTTTCTCCTTCAGACTCTCAAAACATTTCTCCTTTATGGGCACAGAGCACTGTATCTCTGTCCCTTCAGAGCTCACTGATGTGGAAGACCTCTTTTTTTTACTATTCCCTTTGGGTAACCTTAGACTATTGGTTAAAGGCATTTCCAGATGCAAGGCATGTACATGGGACGAGGGTGCTGAAAACAAGAAGACAGATTTACTAGGCATTCCATAAGGATTGCAGCCAGATCACTGGCTGAGACAGATCACTGAAATGTCAAGTATTGGTAATAATATCATCACACTTAACATATAATTACTGCATATGAATGCCTAGGTCTTAGCCTTACACACAGACAATACATGCCACAGACGGTTTCTTTGTTTTGGAATTTGCACTAACTTTTAAAGTGCTTGTGCTGTTGAAAGTGTACTTTTGCTGATACTTCTAAGCCTTTTTGTTTCCTTTGAATTTCACTGTAATAGAAATCCACCTCAACAGGAAGGTGCTGACATTGTCCATATTAGGTTAATGTTCCATTACATGAATGGAGAAATTAAGCTCTAGTGCAACATTTTTAGTGCTATGTATAAAAGGTACACTTCTGCTTATTGCACTTTTTATTGATTTTAATACTATTTAAATACTAAACTGTCTTTCATGTATATATTTAATCCACATTTGAATTACATACAAAATACTGTGATAACTTGTCAGAATTCAGCATCCTATACCAACAATTCTTATCTTGGACTATTCAGAAAAGTTTATTCAGTGAAATATTTAGGTGTTTTTAATCTTTATCTGATGCAAATTAAGCAATAGCATGGTAAAACAAAACTCAAATTATAATTTTCATTGCTATCATCATTTATACACAATGGTATTTTCAAATAACCGAACTAGAACAAAAGTTATTTATAAAGAACGTTACTGACGTCATTCAAAACTCTCTATTGTTGCATTCATCAATATTGTGAGAGTTTTAAGTTTCATTTAAATGTAACTAAGAAATCCTAATCTTCATCTGACCATTGAGGACATTTCAGGGCCATGCCAAGGACATGCTGTACAAAAATGCAGCTCTGCAAAGTCAGAAGGGGTTCAGGTTTTCAATGCCAGCTGTGAACACTTGGAGGCACCAGACACCTTCAGGGTCTCTCAATATATGAGCCCAACAAAAGTATCAGCATGTAAAAAACACTTGCAGGTTAGTGTTGAACCAAAATAAGAGTCCTGAAAAATACCTGCTAGTGGTCAAGATATGAAACAAGACAAAATATGAAGCTGATCTGGAATGGCTTCTTTTGAGGCCACCCCCCCCCTTTTGGTAAGTATTCAGTAATAAAACAACAAAAAGCAATTAAATAAGCAGCGTTAAGGTAATTTAGTAAATTCATCAGTCATAAAAGGAGTCTGGGGAAAAGGCAAGAACAGGGTTGACTCTGTGAGGTAGCCTTCCAGGCTTGGACAGACCAACCCAATTCTACTTCAACACAACACACACACAACATGAAACTTACTCCAGCTCCTAGGCAGCCTTCTCAGGAAAACAATGGAAAGGGCACATAGTGAGAAAGCCACCAGGGCAGTGAGAGCAACAGCAAGCAGTACATCACCTACCACACCATACAGAACTTTGAAATGACAGATGTTCCCAGCTGCAAGATGCAAGACATCACCATACCACGCAATCTAGCCAGCAGGCAGCTGCAGCCACCTCAGTTCTGCGCTGGACTCCAACACAAGACACAAAATGCATGACCATGGCTGAGGCTACCCGAGCCTTTCTACTACTTCAAATCAACAACCTCACCTAAGACCGCAATCCTTTCAAGATTGGTCTACTATCCAGGCTCTTGCCTTTGTCTGTATTTCAATCGGACTTAGCTTGCTGGGATATTTATCATCAACGGAAAACACTATCCAAATTATTCCTTTCTTGGGTTTCCTAATTAACGATTATCTACATTGCAGGACTGAACTGCTTTGCCATCTGTGAGGCAGTGAGTATATTTTAGCACCTCAGTAAAAGCGAAAAATAACACTTCTCCACATCATCATGCTATCAGCGTCTTGCCTCATTTCTAAAAAGAGCACAAAAGGATCACCCAAATGAATGTAGTTTGGTTAGGTCACTGCCATTTTGATGAAAAGGTAAGAGAATACTCATTCCAAAGAATCCCAAGAGAAATTCAGTCTCAACATTGGATGAAGTACTATTTAAACTTCAGAAGAAATCCTGACCTCAGACATTCAAATGTGCTCTGGTATTGATAGCCACAACATACCAACAAACTTCCGTATCTCAGTAATTTTCCATACAAGCCCATCTGACAAAGTAATCAGCTATTAACTAAGTAACTGTTCGAAGGGCAGAAATCTGCTAGTGTCACACAAATATCCATCTCAATGACAGAGCTCTCCAAACTGCCTTTCTATAGTAGCCTGAAAAGTAAAATTACTATTATGCTGGCATACACTGCAATGTTATTCTTGGCTTTTACTTTTATTAATGAGAAATCATTCAAGGTTAAGAATTCTAAATTCTCAAATCCTAACTTAAAGTTTTAAGGCCTGCAAAGTCTAATTTTCAACTGTGCAAATCATGATGCCTTACAAGTAACCACAGAATTAGACAAAGTAGACAATCACAGTCTAAAGATAAAGTAACGAATACAGCAAGAAAAATATTAGTTTATAAAATAATTCCATTATGGAAATACTACCATATCTCTTTTAATTGCTACTTTTAATTGCAATTTTATTCCTGTTGAGAAGTCTAGTCAGCCAGCTCCCACACAGTGAAGCATGGAAGGTCTGCAATTAACACTCCGAGAAAAAGATGCTTACAGATTAGACTTGATAGACTACCGACTATGTCGTTATTCTAAGATCAAATTTATCACCAGCAGGCTGATTTCAGATTAAAAACAAATGCAAGCCGCAGCAATGTCCAATCAGCTTCATGACACATTTCCAACGCTACCTCTCCTGGTCTGGCACAGTGAAGCAACACAATCCCCCGCCGTGCAAGCACAGGCACAGAACAGAATCCTGTACTCCAAGCGCAGCAGCAGACATGGGCTTTGGTACTGCTTATTTCAGTTCAGCAAATGAAAATAAATTGTACCACTGTGAAGTGACTTATTTTGTTGCATGATATTCTATGCCATGGTTTTTGATGTTTTAACTTTCCTAACAACAGAAATATCATCATCTGTATTAATACAGACGGTAAATCATAACATGGCTTTATCATAATTAATTTTGTGTTTGGAACTCCCAGTACATAGGATAAATTAGTTATTTTTATTACTAGAATAAATATATTATTTTATTATTAGAATAAATACCAGATCCTGCACAAAATGATCTCTTTAGGAAGGATGTGGACATGAAAGGTTCTTGCTTGCCTTCAGAATTCAGAACTACCCCAAGAATCAGCTGGGAACTTCAGGGCAGAGACTAGAATGGCTGACATCCAAATTAGGGAATAAACCTGAGTAAAAGAAAGAGCTCCAAAGTAACAAGAGCTTTAGTTCACTAGAGTCTAGATGCCTTCTAAAAGCAGGGTAACCAATACCACTGGCAAGAGTTTATTGAAAAGTGATTGATCTCATTTTCTGAAAGTTACATACACTGGCTGTTGCTTGTTCCTGCTGCAGTAGACTGTTATCAATAAAATTATGTAAAAGTATACAAAGTTTTCTTCTTTTAGCATAAGTGCACATTTCCTCCATATAGTTAACCTAATGCTGCCCTACTAGCAAAATCATCTAGACTAAGCTAGAACAGGAAATGAGACGAAAATATTGTTACATTAGGATTATAAATATCATATTGTTATATTGGTAAATGTAACAATATTTTCCTTTTATTTAAATATTAAAACCCAGAGTGCTTGCTGAAATTATGTTTGCTCAATACATAACAGCTAAATTAATACAAATGGTGTGGAGTTACAGAAACCAAGAAGAAGGATCACAAATTTAAAGAAAGTTACAACTACAGAAGGATCTGAACTTCTGTAGTCAGAACTGGAAAACTACAGTGTTCTGCATGTATTCCAACTGACCGTGATTTTTAAATCTATGAAAGGCTAAGTGACAAAAAGGCCCGTTATCTACTGCTTAAAGCAGTTTGACAAATGAAAGCAAGGATTCTTAGTTATGTGTGTACAACATCAGGTGATCACAAGCAGGCGCGTACAACAGTTTAGGCAAAGCAGTACCTCTGTTCAATAATTAACTGGTAGTGTAGCAGTGCCTACCAAAGCGCGCAGTACCTCCATGTAGCCCATGGACTGAAGGACTTGATCACAGTGCTTTTGCGTTGCCTTTACAAAATGACAAGTTGTTCATTTTGAGCAATGATTTTGAGTTCTGTGTGTTAATACTATGAGTTGCTATTTATGCTTCTGCACTTCAGTGCACCTCATCCCTCCTCTCTGAAAAACACCGAGTTACTATCTTTTCAATAAAGAAATCATTAAAATGCATCATTTTCAACAACATATAATTTTTTTTTTTCCTTCAATTGACTCAACTGAAGTTGATGGACTTCCTCTATCAGAAGTTTAAGCTTCCAAAGCCACAAGGTGCATCTCTGGGTCTAAAACAGTACAGCTCTGTACTCTTCTAAAACAGAAGGGTTGACAATCATAATAGGCTGCTTCAGGCTAAATACTTCTGCTACTGCCATAATTTCTGCACCTATCTAGAGCCATCTACTTCAATGACTACAAAGATGGCAGCTCCAACTTAAGTGCACTTAGCAAATTCCATAGTGTTGTCAAAATCTAGAATACCGGATCTGTCCACACTGTGCCAGTAACATCTAAAGAGCAGAAATATCATCAAAGTACATAGATTTAAAATATTTTTTTAGATTAAAAAAGCAGACAGTTACAGGATAGCCTGGATTCTACACCAGAGTTGTCAAATTGTAATGTATAGAGTCACAACGCATACGCTAAACAATGCAATGTATTAAATTACACTCTAGGCAGGCAGATTTTCCTGCATAATGCAAATTAACTGCTCTCAATAATTTCAAGCATCGACAGGAATGAGAAAGGAAAGCTTTGGGCACCTATCCTTCATATATTGCTTGCCATTGTTTAAACAGGTTCATTAGAAAAGGAAGAAGTAGTCATAGACAGTGAATTCTATTAATTCTCCTGAAGCATGCAAGAATTTAGTGTAGCTATGTGTGCTTAAAGTAACATGACTTGAGAACCCATGCTGTTTCAAAATTAAAAAGACTCCTTCTAAAGCAGAGAACACAACAAAAACTACTCAACAATTTAAAGTATCTCCAGAGCTTCCAAATATGAACTTAAAAGCCACATTTTTCTTCTGAGAATATGAGAAGGATATAAGATGAGTTTCACCAGTCAGAAGTCTGAGATAACCCAAGACACATGAACTTAAGTGACAGAGTCCTAGAGATACTATCAGAGGCAGCTAGCTCCAAAACGTTCTATGGAATCTCTGAATTAAAGAGATCAAACTGCTTAGATGAGTCTTTCAGCCCACAAAGCTTACACTGCTCAAGTGGATGCTGGGCTGCATACTTCAGAAAACTTCTAACATTTGGACAAGAAGTCAGTATAAAAGCTCAAGACAGAACTCTATTTATTGCATGGAGGAAAACTGTAATACATTAAAATTAGCAACAAAACACAGGTCTGTCCACAAGGCAAAAACCCAGAAGATGAAAAGTTATAAGCTCTCAAGCAACTGATTTGCCAGATAACTCTTAAAATCATGTAGGTCCAAAAGAAGCTCCACTAAACTGTATCCTCCAGCATAGGTTGCAAGTGCTTCTTCCATATTCCCTTTCCAGACTCAAGTAGTAATACCACTAACTTTGTCAGGGAATGGCTTTCCCTAGACAAAGTACGTGGACATGTCAAATTTTTGACTCATAACTAAAGATGGCTATAAATGACACATATTATTTCTTTAATTAGACTCAGCTGTGCGCAAGATCAAGCTCAACAACTAAACAGGTGCAAGTGTACTCATGGATGCTGGGTTTAGAACCAGCTTACTCAGAGTCCAAACCAGTTCCATGACAGAAGTGGGCAACAAAATAAATACTCATCAGTACTACCAACTACACATTAAGTGATCCAGAAAATATATCAGAAAAGCCAGAAGTTAAATTCCTAGTAACTGAAACACGTTCTAATAAACAAGAAATAGATGGTAGTTGGGAGCTGTTGGTTTCTTTTATGATCCTGTTCTATGAGTGGGCAAATATACATTCCCCAAAAGCACTTCTCAGAAGACATGAGATAAAAGGACTTTCACACAAGTAAGTTTCACAGGAACTTGCAGTTCTACTGCTATGCAACATATCAAAGGCAAACCAAGACTATCACATGGTTTTACTCAAGAAATTAAGTAATATTTTTAAAAGCTTAAGTGGCAGCTCATTAGAGATACCCATAGCCCTTATTTTGACAAATTAGTTTAAGAGATTAATAATTTCTTTTGAGAGAGAAAGGATAATTACAATGATCTATTTTGATCTAGACAATATTGATCTAAGAATCCCACCCAGCCTTTGATACATCAGGTTAAATAGCTATGCTGCAACTCGATGAAGCGATCACCTTATACTTTCAGTGGGAGCATGTGTGAGCAGACACCCAAGAAGGGGCTGTACATACTAAACAAAATGCTTCACTGACCTATTGAGCACTGCAGCTATACTATCAGCTTAATGCAAAGCTGTTGTGTTTTTTTTCTTCCCCCCTAAGCACAACCAAGTTGTAATTTGAGTGCCATAATTATATACTTTTAGGTTCATGTTGTCCTTGCTTATTATTGATCACATTTACCAAAAACTTCCCCAGTAGAGTATAATAATTTGATTTTTTTTTCCTTCCTCTTTAATTAACAATTTTCTCATTTAAAGAAAAAAGCTTTTGCGAAAATTCTTTCTTGGAAGCCAATTAAAAATGGTATGATGCTCACCCACATACGAGACTTATTTATGAAAAAAGCATATGGACACCTGACATACACTGGATGAAAACAACCCACTTTTACAGTCTGCAAACCACTATGTAAACCCTTCTCCAAATCTCTTAATTCCCTCTATCCAAGTGATTCACTTAAACCACAGCAGCCAGTGAACTGTTACAAACTGAGAGGGAGCACAGCACTCCAGTATTGTGAGACAAGCAAGTCTATATAATTTTTAAAGGATTTTTCAGAAATATTTGCAAGTAACATTTGAAAGCAAGCGAATGACAAAATTTTGACTGCAAACAGGTAGAGGAATGCTGACTGCCTCTGGAAATGTTACTAAGTTTTAAAGCAGATGCCACAAAATAAATGAATGCATCTAGATTTAGTATATATTAGTATGTTAGTAAACAACTTCATAAATTATTTTTACAAGTTCTAACAGGGTAAAATATTTTTGAAAGAAATACTTTTAATATTCCACACTTTCAGATCCTCCTTAAAGCGTGTTAGAAAACGTGCTAATGCAGCTTAAAGCCAGCGCAAGACGAGGGAAATGCAGATGGAAGAACGCCAAGAGCAGTGGCAGGCTTGCAAGTGTGCAGGAAAAAAAAAAGTATCCCCTCCTTCTGTGTGACTGAATACAGACACATTCTAACTCTACAACTATAAACCTAACTGTTTGTATACTGAATCTCTTTACCTGACGCTGTTGTAGCTATTCTTCCATCAGTTACTGCTTTGGAAGAAAGATATGTAATCATCTGAATATCTTCCTTGTCTTTACTGGGATATTCATTACGGAAAGTGGATTCTGTTGATAATGGCGTTGTAACTTCCAAACTACGGCTTAAATCAAGAGGGAGACATGGTCCACGCTTCTCAAGTGAAATATGAGCAACATCAGGTACTACATAAAAGAAAAAATGTAGTATTAAAAAAGATACATAGGTCCAACAAACAACAGTTTGGATTGCAGCGTTACAAAACATGAACAGCATACAGCTTTAGCTACAACAAATCAAAATATCCCATTAGATGAAAACCGTCAAAGGTCTAATTTTTATGATTCAATATCCCTTGGGCAGTTCTTTATTAGATTAAGATACATTACCCTCCAATTTTGATGACTGTTGGTTTTGACCACTGATGGAGAACACTTTTCCATCAGTAACTGAAGAGAGAGAAGAAACTTTTTCTACAGAATCATCAGGCAAGGAGCAAGTGGCTAAACGCTGTGATCTTCTTCTCCGTTGGCTATGTTTGTAGGATCTAGGGGAATTCACTGGCTGTGATGGACCTAAAAAGAGATCTTTCAATGTTCATGAAGCAGAGAGATATACCATAATCTTACCGCAGTATTTGAGATCTAAAGATGGGAAGTGCTTGAAATAGCTCCTATTTGCAAAACTGGTAATCACAGCAGAACTGGTCAAAGTAGTTAAAAACTGTGACTACCAGGAGCAAAAACAAAGAGTTATGCTCAAGACACAATTCTGCTTTTTGCTGATTATACATTACTAGGGCATCTACTTCCCCACTGATAAAGGCTGTTGTTTTAGGCAAACAGTGTATTTACAATAAGCAACCCACCCATACAACCCATGAGAGTAGGCTACTTATAATGGAAGGGAGGGCAGTAGGATTTAACAGTAAACAGAACAAACGATCACAGTTAAAGACCTAAAAAGTCATGGATAGTGGTAACATAGAACTTAAATAATCAAAAGCAGTGGTTCATTTTATATCCTACCTCCTGTCTTCTGCTAACCTGGTATCAATACCCCAACTATATTTCAAACACACACTGCCAACGCACTGGCACAGTAAGAAGGCTCAAGAATCTCATATTTAAAAAAAAAAGGGAGGGATTGATATAGGTTAATATAGGCCTGATTCATTAAAAACAAAAAACCCACGCTCCCCTATACCACTCCAATTTTACCTAGTTTCACAAATTTTTGCCTTAGAAAAACATTTAAGCCATTATTACACTGCAAATAACTGTTCTCTCCTTTTCTTATGCAGTTTTCAGAGTCAAAGATGTACAGATTTAACAGTAAACACACAGCAAAATTACATTTCCATTAGAGGTGGTAAAGACTCAGAAGCAAAAGATTAAAAGACAGCACTAACAAGATCTAAGCTATTAAGCAACTTATTGTTTAAATTAGCTAATTTTTATAATATTGCTACAGAGAAGTCTAACTTAATCCAAAATACAAACATGCTAAAGGAAAACTACTTACCATTGTTTTAGGGGTGGGGAGGGAAGGTGTATTACAGTATAGATGACCGCTAATATTTTGTGGGGACAAAATATAATTTATATCAATATGTCCTGAATAATGATGGCTGAATTTGCACCCCTTCCTCTCCCATGCATTTAAAATTATCTGTGAGAAAAGATTAAAAGAAACTTCTCTCCTAAGTGAAAATATCAAATCAAGGTTAAGGGGAACACACGATGCAGGCAGTCTTCCATCCTCAATCGCTACTCTAAAAGTGAAAAAAAATGTAGGTTTTGACTTAACTGTAACCCACCTTTATTTTAACTGTTGGCCTCAACATTTAATGTTCTTCAGGCAACAAAGAGCCTGACCCTAAGCAACACTAAAAACCTAATGTAATCTCAAAAATTACAGAAATATTTTAACATCCACAAAAAATAGCATATTCAAGGATGTAGCATAAACCTTTCTCTGTTCTTCTGATAACCAATACTTTGGTACTTTGCAAATCAGTTACACATGTCAAGAAGCTGAACACCTATGATATTATTCTGAGACCAAGAAACCTGATTTTTTATTTTTCCCCACGACAGAACTTGAACCCATCTTTTCTTTCACATTGTATTTGGAGGAAATACCACACAAGGTGAAGAATGCCACAGCCAACAGGTACAGCACATGAGCCTGCTGAAGGTGGAATTTCTCAGAGAAGCAAAGGTCCACAACAAACGTGTATGTCTTTTCTTTTTAATGAATCAGGCCCCTTCAGAAGAGAGGTTTGACTTTTCCTGTATCACTGTTAACACTAATGTGGAGGTTTAAGCTGGAGGGAAAGCCAACCATTAAAAGCCACGACTCTATAAATATAAATGTATTATTTAAATGGATTATTTCCAGTAGAGTAATTCATATGCCTTATTATGTGACTTGACTTTTAAAATACTGAGCTACCCCTAATTCTCCCACTTGGACCTTTTATTTAAAGCAGATTCATTTTTAAAAGCAATAGCCATTTACAACCAAAAAAAAAATTCTGTATATCTCTTAAGTAATTACGGTATTTTTTTTTAAAATGTCTGTGCTCACTAGTTTTATTTATCACAGAAGAAGGAAGCTGAGAGACCAGCGACAAATCCTCGACTTGTATTAATTCTGGGGAAAGTGGTGATTTAGGGGGCTTTATACACCCAGAAGAATCTCCAGATTCTTGTTTGCATTTCTTGCTGCGAGCCTTTCCTGAAGACAAAGTTGAGGATAACAGTGCAGGTTTCTGAATGTTGGCAGAACTGCTAATATCAGCTTCATTTTTTTTCTGACTTTGTGGTTTAGGTGAAATCTCCTGAATAAATAATAAAAAATTGATACTTTTATTTCAGTTTCTTCGCTGTAGTTCTTGTATTCTATTTTGATCTTTTTAAAAGCAACTTTAGTATTCAAAACACATTTTAAAGCAACATTATTTTCAGTACAAATGAAAACGATTTAAAATACATCACAGTAAACTGCTTTGGTTTTGTTTTTCTTTTTAAAGGAGCACTATCAATTATTTTCAGTATTCAGAACACCCACATTTCTTACTATTTGAATACAGGCAAAAAGCCTGAAAACAAAACATTTTTCCTCTCTTCTCATTTTAAAAATCCACCAAAGTCTTTTTAGTTTCTGTCTTTTTCATCTTCAGTAGACCAGGACCAACAGCGCTGTCTCAAAGTACATCTTGGGAGAACACTTGTTACAAGCTAAAATACATACACCGATCTTAAATCATAGAATTTCTCAAGTTGGAAGGAACGCATCAGGACTATATCGAGTCCAACTCCCTGCTCCTCGCAGGACTACCTACAACTAAACCATATGACTAAGAGCGTTGTCCAGATGCTCCTTGAACTCTGACAGGCTTTCACACTACTATGAGCAAGCAATTCTTGCTCAGAGAATTGCAGTTCTAAAAAAAGTTGCCAAGATTTTTCCCTTCAGTTATTTCCCTGACCATAGCAAAGACAAAAAAAAATTTAAAAGTTCCTCAGGGAAACTGTTTAACGTGAATTTCATTTTTAGAGAAGAACATGAAAAAGTTGATAATGCTCCTTTAAAGAATGCCTAAAAACAATAAAAGGTTTCCAAATACTGAACACACTCTCACACAACCCCTTTCAGTGCTGGGAGTCTGGATTTCACCACATTATATGTTTGTGCAAACACATGAAGAAATCACAACTTCTAGCACCACAGGGTTAAATAGATTGCTAACTGTTGGGGGAAAAATGAGCAGATAGAGTTAAAACAGTTTTTGAAGAAAAAAAAAAGAACAAATCAACATATAGTGCAGCTTTCCAATTGCATCAATTTTCATCCTTCTTAACACACATACTGAAGTATTATTTTTAGACAATTAGCATGCACTGACAGACATTAGCATTTTAAATTTTTAACTGGAAGTTCTTCCTACTTTACTGAATAAACTGTGCATGTGTTACAACTTGCCCAATGATGGCAAACTACACTTCCTGAACGTAACTTCTTAAATCTGACCCTTTTCTTGTCCCAGTTACATCACACAACATAGTACCATCTAATAAAACCATAACTAAGTAGAAAGGTATTTCTAGAACGTGTGCACCACTTTAACCAAACTAAAAACATCACATCTCTGATGACTGGAGAGTATTATTGAGTTTTGTTATAAATCGTAAATTTTCCACTAGAACTTTCCACGTTCCAATGGAAAAAAACCAAAAACACAAAAAAAGGCAAAACAAAAAACCACAAGTGCACATTCTCTGTTTGTAAAAGAGCACCCCTGAATGCTACATGAACAGTTTGCTGGAAGTATCATGTAAAGATCCGGTGCAAAAACATCCATTCAGCAGACATCAGTTCTACCTTGAATAATTCAATTACACATGTACTAAGTGCAGTTTATTCATTTAAATAAAATATTCCATGAACTGTAGAGTATGCCTATGCTGGTTATGAGAAGTATTACCAGAAATTAATTAGAGTCGTAACTTGTAAATAAACAATTTTATTGTTCATCTTCACAGATGTGAAAGACATTACTACAGCATCCATTACTTTCAAATTACAAAGTTATTTAAACAAGATTAAAAAAATTAAATTAATATTTTGATAAGGTGCTTAACCTCTTAACAGGACAAATTAACATTAAAAGCCTTAATGAATTAATGTTATTCATCTAATCAGGTCTCGGTCAAAAGAAAATATAACATGACATACCCTAATACAGTTAAATAAAACTACTGTATCTGCAACTAAGCATCTGAGCTTTTGGGTTTAAGACAACTGTAAACTAAAAATATATAAATATAAATAAAATAATTTTCCATCAACAAAGTCAGTTTTCGGCTATTGGCCTGAATACTTCTACCATGTTTTGTGTTACATTATTAAAAAACCCTACAAGATATGTTACCCATTCAATTTTATAGCAGTAGCAGACAAAACCTCTAAGGAATGTCAGCTTTGCTATTGGAAAACCTTTTGGGGAGGTTTATAACTCGGCCATTGGAATTTGGGCAGGAACTTGGTGAAAAAAGCTCTAAGCTCAAAAATTTTCCTCCCCACAGTTAATCATTTAAATGTTTGTCAGGTTTCTGGTTTTAGTTAGAAGCAAAGGAATAGGACAATTTGGGATTTTAGATGCCTCTTTAGAAGGAGCTTAACTAGTATTTCCAAAAATGAGGTTTTTCAGACCATTAGCATGTAAACAATGACAGAGACATCTTTTTTATATCTAATCAATAAAACAGAAACAGCCGAGTTACTAAGTGTAATAAGTAACAAAAAGGTTTTAGTAAATATGCACTGTAGTTTATACTGTTGCATACACAGTCTATGTAAACCACAAAGTCCCATTCACTGCAATGGGATTCTGCATGATAAGATTTACATTGTAATGATTCCTCTAAAAACAACATGCTGTAAGCCATTTCACAGTTTTTTGCACATTGAAAGTATCACACACAGTAGCAATAAAATCATGGCATCTTTAATATGCAAAAATTTGAGAAATGGGATGTCATGTCAATACATTGTAAACCTTTATGCAAAATATCGGTCAATGCATTGACACCGTAGTGGCTCTGTTAGCCGTTACAGTGACAGCATTAAAAACAGAAAATCATGTTCCATTGACAAGACTTGCCAGTGCCAATGGAAAAACCACAGCAATGCAATTATATATCAGCTCTAAAGAACCAGTACAACCAAAATATCAAATAAAGTTTGGGGTAAGGACTGTTCATAGAGTGTGCCGGGGTGTAAGAACAGAAGTGCTCTTTTAAGAATCGTGGGCAGCAATTATTTAAATGCTGCTGTTCTTGAAAAAGAATGAAAATGAATACAAAAAAGCTGTATTAAAACTATATTAAGGCTCTGATTTAAAATCACTGGAAAACAAAGATGTCCTGAATCAAGACTACTGTTCATCCTTAGCTTGCTTTACCATGTTTAGGCATTCAGCCCTTTTAGTATGCAAGACAATGCACAACTCTGAGTCAAGCAATGCCTGAACACAATGGAATAAGCCAAAGATAAAATGGCAGCCTTCAGGTCCTGCAAATATGCAGGTTTGAAAATCAGACCCTTAACATTATTTAAAAGTTTCTTTTTTGTATTTATTAAAATACACACCCTTGCAAAATGTATGGCTCATTGAGCAGTTCCTAAACACACACAAGCCTACAACACCAAATTCTTACAATAGAAAAGAAACTTCTTCTAAAAGAAGTTCTATTTGATCTCAAAAAACCCTGTTTCAAACACAAATTGAATCTGTGTAAGGGCCTTTTCGTAAGCCAGTCACGGTCATGGTGCCAGTTATAAAACTGGACATTGGGACACTGGTCTCCTCACATTTGTTGCATGGAGACTTCATTTTTCTTTGTTTTCTGTTAGTTTTCCAACACAAAAGCTCATTACTGAAATTCAAGTCAACACTGTGTTCAGAGAATTAAATTCCATACTTCTGGCTCTGCCAGAAATGTAAACATAAGATCAATTTTCAGTTCCCTATTATATCTGAAGGGGCAAATTTTAAGGTTGTAGGTACTACATCTCCATGGCACACTCCAGTGGGAACCTTGCAAAAGAATCAAACTCTACCATTTCATACCTGCTCCAGGACTGGAGCTGTTTCTTTGTTGCCTTCCTTTTTTTCAGCACCATCCGCAACAACAGCTTTGGATGCCAATAAGCCTTAGGAGAAAAATTGCAGAGATCCTCAGTTAGAAGTAGCTTTGCAACACGAGTTTGTGGAAAACAAAGCAAAACAGCGAGACAAGAAATATGAACTGCTTTTATCTACAACGTAATTCTCTCTGAAACAGCTCCACACAAAGCTGAACATTTTAAATTAGAAGAAACAAAAAGTTGAAGGATGGTCCCATGACAGTGCCCTTTCACAAGAGTTACTTCTCTGGCATTTCCACAAGATAAAAATCAAATTATCAATTCTAAAATAAAGCCCCACCATCCTTTTAAAGCCCAAGGGCTTGGGCTTTAAAACCGAGCCTATGATACTTGAATTAAATTTTGAGGGACCAAAATTATTTACAAACCTTTTCTCTCTCTCCCCCTTCCTGTCTTTCAAGAGCTATCACATTTCAGCATTCCACAATAACTACTATGTGCTTTTATTCATTTACTCTTTATGTTAGAATAAGTTATGCTTCAGTTTACTGGAAAGTAATATGTATCAAAAACTTTTTCAGAACACCATGTCCACAACAAGAGGTGCATACTAATTGATTTTACAGCTAAACAGGTTAACCAAAAAGTAGAAACTTACTTAGCCTTATTATATTAATACAAATAAAATTATCAGATAAGATTTTAATTCTGCATTAGGCTTCATAAAGTGTTTGTTTCATGGACCTAAATAAACCTTTGTGACTCAAATTATCCTGTTTAAATCAAGTTGCAAAATTAGCAATGTTCTTTATATTAACAACCATGCACCTACACTCAAAAGCTTAAAATAATTTTCAAGATTAAGAGGAGTTTTAAATACTAAACAACAAGCTACAGTCTGTAAGGTCTTGTGGTTCTAACAAAGCACAGTCTACCCAGAGAAGTTGTGGATGCCCCATCATTGGTGATGTTCAAGGTCAGTCTGGATAGGGCCTTGAACAGCCTGATCTAATGGAAGATGTCCCCGCCCATGATGGGGAGGGTAGACTAGATGATCTTTAAAGGTCCCTCCCAACCCAAACCCTTCTATGATTCTATGATTTTTATTTCTAGCTAGATGCTCAGTGCTCAGAAAGTAAAGCCATGAAATGAACCTAGACTGTCAGACCTGTGACTATATAACCCTTATTTCCTTCTTCTCTACCCCATCAAGTAACTTTCTAAACAATAACTACACTTGCAAAAAAAGACAAAACAACTCTACAAGCTACTACAGCAGCAGGACTACAGGTTCACCATTCCCTGTCAGTAACAGCACCTAACAAATAAAAAGCATGGGGTGGCACAGTGAACCTGAAGTGTTTCGTTCTGTACGCTTGCTGGAGAGGTTATCTGTTCTTTTAGGTATCAACACTGCAGCAGGAGATATGGAAGCAAGCAAAAATTAAATGAAAGACTACATTAATACATGCTTAACAGGAGACATCCTTCACCTTCGGGAAATGTAATTTCCCCCAGTGGTGGTAGCAGAAGAAAAAGGAGCAAAGGAAGCAACTTTTATTTTGTTGAATGGTGACCAAAGAACACCAGATGCAGCTGTGGCCCTTGTGGCAGACAAGGAGAACCTTCTGCGACAAATACTGAATAAAACAGGACCCTTCAGACAGCCTCCTACAACCACATTATTAGCTCTATTTCCCCAATACAGCTGTAAGACCCTTGGTAAATGATGTTTTCCTAACAGCTACAATGCTTTAAAGATTCTTTTATAGCAATTCTGATGGTTACACCAGCATGATTCCCAACCTTCCTTAAAATCTAAAAGCTCATGCTGGAGACACAAACAACAATTTACAAGTTTTTCAAGCATAAGACATAAGCATGTAGCGAAAGAAAGTTTTATCATCAGCAGTTACATTTTCAAAATACAATTAAAAAAACCTACTATGAGGTTAGTATGAGTTACAGAAGTGTGTTGAGAACAGTTACACAAAGTAACTACCACACATGACAAATTTAATCTTGTAATTAAAGGATTAATTCACTTTCACAGAAAGGTAACATTCTCTCCCAGTGCAGTATGCTTTCATGGAGACAGATGCACACTGGTTTTAGAATGATACCAAAGTTAGTGGCTGCAACATTATGTTTTCTGATTATTCAGTTCAGTCTATATGAGCCTGTCCAACTGTTATTATTCTCATGAAGTTCCTTAGGAAAGGAGAATCTACTCAGGACAGAAGCTTCTAGAGCTACAGGTTTTTCAGCTGATTTTGGTACCTTCTGCTACTAACTGCTATTGGAAAGAAATTAACAGGGCTCTGTAAAGATATATCACTAGTGAATACATATTTGACTTCTATTGCTTGTGGCAGCAATTAAATTGGGACTTAACTGAGGGTGTATGCAGTATGGGCAAAGGAGAGTTGAAATGAGGCTGATAAATCAGACATCTGTTAGCTAAACTTGGTACCAAATAAGAAGCCTTACAGGAAGGCAAATCCTGGAGGTAGAAGATGGGTTTTTCTGAGGACTGCTCCCTTCATATGTTCCATACTGGCCCACTTCATTTGTTTTCTACTTCAGACTGAAGTACTGATTGAGAGACTGAGACAGAACCACACACATAAGAAAACTGACTAACACCCTCCACTGCTGACCTATAAAAGGTTGGATCACCCAAATCAAGTCTGAAAAAAATCATTATGCAGTTTACTAAATCAGGTTATTTTCAGCTTACAGAAGCTTTTTATATTAATGACCATACCATACCTACTACAACAAAACCAAACAAAAAGCCCCTCCCCTCTGTAGCATAGAGAAGTCTGTCAGATTCCACACAAAATATTTACTACAGTGAGTGGAATGCATCTCTACCTTACCGTCTGTCCAAGGGCCCTTCTGTTAAGGGGGGAACTTCACAACTTTTTTCCACCCAGCTTTTGAAATGCATCTGATACTTACTCAGCACAGGTACACACATACTACCTCATCCTAAACACTGAGAGCATCAATGCTGTCAACATAATTTGATTACTGGTAGGCATGGGGGAAGCGAGATACAAATTGAAAAAATTTCTTCACAGTTAAGTAAATTGGAAACTTTGGAATAAAATGCATTTTTTAACTTTTAAAGATAAGACCAGTTACCTACAACTCCATTTCTTGTTGTATAAGATGTATTCTATAGCTGTATATTTGTTTTCCATTAATACCTTTGAGTAATAAACATAGGCAAGAAATGCCTTAAGACACTGAAAAAAACATTTCAGATCTTCACTGCTTCAATTGGTAGCTAGGCTTGTATACTTTTAAATGACATACTGTCAACTCTTCTCTGCAACAGTTTTACTTTATGACAAACTATGACAAAACATTTAGTTGTTCCACAGCTAACAAAAGCTTTATCTTACAGTGGTGGTATGGAACTCCTGACCACGTTAAGTTGTGCAACCCCAAATTCACACAATAATGGAGAAAATTGTGCAGCTAGGTTTGAACTGATGAATTTCTTGAGTATGTTTTAAAGATGGCTACCTTCCTAAAAAAATTAAAATATGAAGTCAAGTCTGAGACCGTTCTCTGAATTTATGAACAAGGTAGATTTTATTACCATTTACAGATTCCTTTAAAATTCCAAACAAGTAAAAGACTGTAGTGAATATGTGCCTGATGAATGTGCTTCTACTCTAGTACCTTATATGTAAGCATATATATTTCACTACATTAAAAAGGAGAAAAAATCAACAACAAAAAGAGTATTTTACCAGTGATCTTGTTAAGACGAGCTCTCTTTGCCTGAAATGAGTTGCCTAGACTACTTTTCCTCTTGTGTGATAACGTGCTCTCTGCCTGCACAAAGGTCATCTTTGGAACATCCACTACAGGAAATCCTACTTTTAAACAAAAGAGAAATCTAATAAAGTCACATTTCATAAGTATGTAACAACAACAAAAATACTTAAATATTTCAGAACTGCTATTAGAATACTGCAGTAAAGAAACCTTAAAATTCTATTAAAAATGAAAATGACACATTCTGAAGATCTAGTGCTGCACGTTGAAGCATTAGATGCAGATTAACTCAAAAATTGGTTGGGTTTGTTTGGTTTTTTTACTCACTATTATGAGAAATCAGTATTAAAGACTACTAAACGCAACAAACACTTATCAACCCAGAAACAGTTTCAAACATCCCTGAATATGGATATGTCATCCATATCGGAATTTTTTTTCCTGAAAACAAGATCAGGTATTATCTCACAGGTAACAGAAGATGCAGGAATATGAACCAAAGCATACTATGAAGTCATTCAAAACCCTCTATGTTCTGCTCTTGTTAGAGCTAGTTAGAAGTTTTCCACAAGGGGTAAATGCTGACCAAACTACGTTTATCTGATAAAAATTGTTTCTGAACTGATTCATGTTACATATCATAAAGTTATCATAATTGCAAGTAAGACATCTTCCTCCAGAAATACTTCCTCCAATTAAGTTATTACTTAATTGCAAAATTAACAACAGGAATTCTACTACATTACAGAAAAGTCTATTTTATCTTTTACAGAATTTGTTTTTACCAAATGTGTCACTAGATGTAGGCTCTTCTTCCTTTTTTTGGACTTCCTGCATGATTGTAGAGGTTGAGGTTTCTTCCTTTTTTGAAGGAACTTTTAGCCATTTTCTGTCCTCTTTATCTTTATTGCTGTTTGCGCTGGTTCTAGGTTTACTTCCTGCTTTGTTCTTGGCTGCTGCCGCAGCAGCAGCTTTGACCAGAGCTATCCAATCCTCCAAAAAGGAAAAAATGGTAAGTAAGTATTAAAAAGTGCCTGAAACTCAAATAGAAAATACTTAAAAACCCAGTGAAACTTCATCTAGAAATGTTCAAGAGCAGTTGAATTTATTTTTATGGCTACTATTCAAAGAGTGGTAAAATAAGTTTCCCAAATTGCCTAAAAAATCTTGAAGTTTTATCAGTATGCCACATGGATAAAAAGCAAAAGGAAAAAACCTTCAAAAAAACCACTGTGTATAGAATTCTGGCTGCACATGTTCCCTGCTACCTATTTTGTGTCACAGCTTTAGAAACCCAGGAGCTCCCAAACCCAGAAGACTGACTTTTTTTCTTACCCTTCTGGCCATGAAATACACCAATACCATTATTGCTTGAATTTAACTATTATTCAAAACTACAATCAACTCAAAGCACGGTCCAGCCAGCTGCATGATTGGGCAGAGTTCTTCCTGAATTAAATTAATAAAGCAGGGACAACTCTTTTCTAATTTTATCTGTGTTTCTAGAGTAACTACAGAAAGCACTCTCTTTGTATTACACATTACAATTTTCATTCAATAATTTTAATAAGTGCTCTATAATATGACTGAATTTCACAATCCACATTTAAAGTAACAAAAGTGCCATTTTGGATAATGGCTTATTTGACCATACAGAAACATCCAAGGAGTGAACAACAGAACAGAGAGCCCAAATTCATCTACTTTTTGGCATGTAGACAAAGTCTAGCCACCCTGTAAGTCAGACAGAACTAAATACTTCCAAGGTTGACCCAAGCTCTTCCCACTAGTTGGGAGTGATCAGACTCCTGCCTTATGTCTCCTGAGTCTCAAGGATCAATCTGACTGCAAAAATTTCTTAACTTGATCCTTTTTACTAATGTATTTTTTCAAATTTTCTATAACATCAAGGTAGAGAATTTTCCCATGGAGAAGTTATATGTGATATAAAAACCAATAGCAATGTTAACCCTTCACCAGTAAGAATTAAGCACCTGAGTGTTTTGAACAATAATTAATTTACTATACAGCAATTTTTCTATAAGAGTATTTCCTGATTTGTACTACCACATATAAAAAAGGTATGATGAAGACTATTTTTGTCTAGTTTTGCATGAGTGCTTTAAAAACAGTAAAACTTTTTTTTTCCCCCAACTATAAACAGACTATATTTTATTCTGGATTGTTTTTTGTTGTTGTTATATTATAAACTTTTTCACCACTCATTACATATTATAAGTCTTTCAAATTTCTGTTCTTACTGAGGTTTCTTTGCCTTCTTTGATGTATGAGAAAAGCATAACACAAAATACAAAGCATTACTTTTCCTTGTATTATGCTTTTCCTTTTCCATAGCTCAGTACTTCTAAATCACTGCTTTATATAGGTTATGCTCCTACATTGCATCAAACTATGCACTTAGAAAAACCAACAGTTTTGATTCCTCTAAGATAAAGTGTTCCATGTCCAAGCTGTCAATGCAAGATGCATACACTCAGTCTAGCTAGCAGCAGAAAAGTTTAGAAGCGCTTTGGCAATGCTTACACAACAGGCAACTACCAAGGCCATTTGGTGATGTGCCAGCCACAAAGAGCGTATCTAACTGCCAGCTGCATAGTCAATCAAAAACACACATACCTCTTTTTTGGCCAGCCAAAACGAGCACACACATTAGCTCCAGTCCATCCAGAGCCTTGCTCATCCAGCAGGACAAAAAAAGATTGAGCTATTTGTGCTGTTGAGGAGTTAGGAGACCTGAGAGTAGAAGTCTTACACTGTACCCTGGCCAAGGGATGAAGAGGATCAGTAACATGGCTGAAGTTTGGAACTTATGATAAAAGTGGGAAGCAAGGAAGCACAGTCTGCATCAAAACAGCTTCTAAGCAACATTTTAATTTTCAGTCAGGCTAAGCACCCTGAAATCAGAAGCTCTCAGAGGATATAGAGCTTCAAGGATCACACTGAGCTAAGTATCCTGTTCTAACGGTAGCGCTTCCTGTGCCACAAGAAGGGTTTTTTTTGTTTACATTTTATTTCATTGTTTGGATACTTTCCTTGAGGCATAGAGCTTACAAAGGGTAGCAGGACACATATAACAATGATGCAAACAAAGGTTAAACATTCAGAAGCCAGAGCAGAGGCACGTTAATTTTGGTGATAGTTACAATTTTCTTCTAGATTAATACGTAAATCTAAACTCAGTGAAGAGAATTTTGAGCTGAGGGGGTGGACAAGGTTATCTCAAGAGGTCCCTTCCAACCTCAATAATGTTGTGATTCTGAATTGGCCAGAAACTCTGAGAGTCCATTTTGTATAACATCAAGGTAGAGAATTTTCCCATGGAGAAGTTATATGTGATATAAAAACCAATAGCAATGTTAACCCTTCACCAGTAAGAATTAAGCACCTGGAGTAAACATAAGGGCACTGAAGTGACACAGGTAATTCCTACTTTTTAACCTTGAACACCAGCTGAGCAACTGCTCAGCTGCGTAACTCCTGCCACGTGAGAACTATTTAGCATCTAAGGTGCTAAGGTGTCCATTTCTTTTTAAGAGCACAGGAACTGCTCCTTAAAAAAAAAGATAGGTTTGTGCCTCTTTCAGAATTTTTAGGAAAATTTAACAAAAAATGGGGGAACAACGAGAGACTAAAGCACAATGAAATCTGTCTCAGGGTCATTGTAAGATGTCTACTCTGTCAACCATAACAGCAGGACACTGAACATCATAGATAGCAGAGAAACTACATGCAAGGACTTTTCCCCAGAGCATTCAGTATACACAAAGCCAAGGGCCCATATATGAACACATTAGAAATTAATGAAGTAAAAGCAAAATCCTCCTAAGAGAAGTTTTCACTACTTCTCCCTTGTGTCCTGACATTGGCCCTCTACTGGCTGTGGTTTTGTAACTCTGCACCTGTTACTCTGCACCATCCAGCCTGATTTCCCGCTTCCTACAGTATCTCACCCCAGTGAAAGTTTTTCATTTATGTATACAACTTTTTTTTTTTTTTTAAAGTGTACTTCCTTTTTTATCTTACTAAAATTCATCTTTCAAGTAAGCTAAGAAAATTGACAGGAAAGAAGTAATGGGACACTGTAGTTAGAAGACAAAACATTACTTTATCGCTACTGAGGAAAACTGTCATTATGCTAATTTGATTCACTAAATCAAAGCACAGGAAATTGCACAATCAATACGTTAGTAGAAATTATTCAACAACCTTGCACATCAATTAGCTAAAACACTTGTACTTTAAAATATTCCGTTGCATAACCTTAGACCTGCAACAGTGGGAAGGCAAAACCAGGGTAATTTCTGAAATCCAACCCTTGTGCCAATAGCAGAATTCACACACACACATCATTCTCCCTTCACCTGCCTACAATCACCACCTTTTGGCTTCTCTACAGTACTAAAGATTCAGCTGGTTTTCCTCTCCTGACACATCACAACTCCCAACTCCCACACATTCATACATACACATACGTAAAACATCATTAACCTATTGACTGGCTGATTCCACATCAGGCCTGGATTCCTTACGCTCACCTTTCAATTCTAAACAGTCTGCCCCACCTACATCTTGGCTTACATTGTCTCCTGTCACATCTTCTTTTTTCCTCTGTCCCAATCGCAAATCCATGATTTTTCCTCAGCTTCCTCTTCCTGTGTGCCAAGTTCCCTCCCTCTCCTTCAAACCCCTCCTCAAAACTCACTTCTTTTGGTTCGATTTCCGTCACTAATCTCAGCTCCGGCGCTATCTGCTCCCTCTCGCGCGCCTAATTACATTGAAGATAAAACAAAAAACATGAAACAGAAAAAGTAAGTTATCCAAATACTTCATATGTGCTCTCACAAGGGCAATCTCAATATCCCCATCTTTTTATATTTTCTTTCTGTACTATATTAGTCACATTTGTGTGATTTCCATTAATTTGCGCCTATCTGCAGAACAACCTAACCTATAGTCTGATTGCATTGAACCACACAAATATTTTCCACTCTTTAAAAATTTTGCCTTTCCACCCTCACAGCTGACTCTTATTAAAACGTACTTCTGCTGCAACTCAGAAATAGAGTTTGAGTGTTAGAGTTTACAATCTCTTCCTTTAAGATATGCTAAGCTCAAATCAAAGAATTAACTAGTCTATATCCCTCTTTCTCCATGTAATTCATATTCTGCATGCTTAGCACACACCTTCCAAAGAGATCTTGCATTTGTTAAATTTGCTAATGCACTATCTTAAGCCTACACTCATCTCTTCAAATGTATTTTTTTCTTTGGAAACAGACAAAAAACAAGTCATAGGTTTAAATTAAGCATGAAGTGTTGGATCTGCCAACTCCATTGTTTTTCAACTCCAGTTATATTCTTGGAATTTTTTTAAGCTTTACACAATTTTTAGTAGATGTTGTCTTATAAAATAAAGAATGTAAAATAGCAAAAACGCCCATTTCGGTTCTAGGCTTGGAAAAAGCTCAGTTCCACGTAACTGATTTTCAAACCAAATTTTAGATCACATTTTTATTTCAAAATATTTTTGTGGCTATTTAAAAAACAAACATTTTACCATAGCAGAATGATGTAGGAGATGTTCCAGGAAAAGAAGTACCTTTGCCTTTGAAAGCTACAGGACTTCATACCTATCTCTAATTTTGCAAAATGAATTGCTAAGACTAGTATTAATTAGCATTATAGAAAGCATAATTGGTGGTGTTCTTGCTGCAAGACAACTTAAAAATTCTAAATCTATCTCAGAAAGTATAAGTCTGGCCCCCTTGTTCTTTCTCAAGACTTTACTGAAGCCATCTACATTCAGCCCCTGAGATGCATGAGATTGACACCATAACTCTCAACTACTGAGAAAAATTAGAAGTAATAGATGAGCTGGACTGTCACCAAGCATGTTTGGACATCAAAATGGTTGCTAAGAAATTGTTTTTTGTTTTTGGGGTTTTTTTTAACTGAAAATGCCTGTGGCGTAAGAGTAGTAACTCAAGCTTAGACACAACATAGCTCCCTAGAAAAAGCACAGGACAGAGTAAGGAACTTCTTCACATTGGCACAGAAAGGCTATTTCAGTTCAGTCACAACCACATTACCCAAGTTTTCCTTTCTATGAAATAAAATGAAATATTCTAGCTTCCTAACTTACTGTCATACTGAAAGTGTTGCTTGAAACATTATATACTGGTTCAATAAAGTTATTGTAAGACTGGCAAGAAGCCAGTGTTAGCATGACTGTGGATTTCAGTTTAATTTCTCTGAGGAAACATAGTTTAAATAGTGCAGTGTTGCCTGCATAAAGTTCCAGTGTTCTCTGCACAGATGATCAACCCTAGCATACAGCTACCCATAACCTGGAGATTGAGGATTTCTATAGATATAGATATGTTTTCAAGCCAATTCACTTATCCATCTGCCCTTGTCACCATATGTATGGTTACAACAGTAATTATGAAATACCTGAATTTTGTTTGCCAAGTTAGAAGGAGTATTCTGAAGAAAACAAATAAGAACAGTTATTGTACATTTCTTGTCTCAAACAGTTTCAGTGGAGTACCTTCTCATTAACTATGAGAATACAGTTACCATGTAAGATAAATCCAATGGCATTTCCACTGGAAGCATGTAACAGTTTCCAATGCTATTTTTCTTTTGCAAGTAAAGATATGCCTGTTGACTAAATCATGGTCCTCTACTTCACAGCCTCCCTAAACTTCTAGTCAGCATCTTTTCTTTAAGAGAAACGGGACATTATCAGAGATAAAGAAATATTTATCTGTCTGATTCCCCAAAAGTTCTGATACAGGGGAGAAAAACCCCACAGAACAGTCATGTTAATAAGAATATGTGGGCAAAAAGCTACCATGGTAGCAAAGAAAAGAGATGGGGTGAGGCAGAAAAAAATTTAAAAAAAAAAAAATCAGCAGCACAAACTACTGACAAGCTGAAGCTTTTTCCTCAAAAGACACCAGAGGAAAAGGTCTCTGGATGCCCCTGGTTTTGTAAACTCTGCAAGACAAAACTCTGGGAACAGACTAGCCAGCAATGGAGTGTACAGCAGCTAGACATTTCAGATAGAGGCAAGACTACGTGAGCAGCACAGTCTGCGGCATCATCCACAAAACTGGTGAAGCAAGGCAGTGCAGGACCTAGGAAAAAAGACTGTAATCTAAAACTAGTTGTGCTAGATGGCATTTTTACTATTCCAAGTTATTAAAAAAAAAAAATCTATATAAAGCCTAACAAAGAGATACCTAAAGTATTCTTACCTGCCCTTTTGCATCCTCTGGCATAGATTTGATATGCATCCTCTTAAGACATCGAATAACACCATCATAGAACTGTACTGTGAAAGTTCCTAGAAGAGGATTGATGTAATCACTATGAGCAGTTAAGAAACAAAACACACCTTGTTACTATGAAAGCTTTAGCAAAATGTTTTGTAGGCTATATGAACAAAGTAACCAGGTGTTACCTACAGTCAGGACCATGAATTCTAAGAAAAATAAATGACGGCCTCAATGAAACTCTGTTTTTATATTGCTGTTATTTGTCAACTTGGACGATTTCAAGCATGTTTAAGCTACTGTGTCACTTTCCCTCATAATTCATTTCAAGAACCATGTAATATTTAAACTGTCACAGCAGGGAAACAGTTCAATTCACAATCAACTCCTCATTTGCTTTAAACTACAGTAAAAACTTCAACTTTTACTTATGTTCATTAGAAATATCACCCCATTGTGAAGTATTGCATTTAATTTGTTCCATTATTTCCCCATTTCCATTGTTTTCTTCCAATAAACAGAACTTTGAAGAGAACTACCATTCCTAAAACAATTACAAAAATTTAAACATATTGTTAGCCCAAATCAACAATAGTACAAAGTATTTATAACACTGTCCACAGGATATTCTTCTCATCACTGAGGAAACATTAACCATTTTGTCTTCCAGGAGAAATCAAAATTTTCTTTTTTCACACAGATAAAAGATGAGCCTCTTATTAAATCTGATAGAATAGAAACATTTCCAGTTAATATTGAGGCAGTGAGGAAAACTGTATTCGCATGTCATTTTTTTAAGCAGACTACAGCTACAGCACAGCATATGCAAACAGTCCTTACTAATGGACCATACATAAATACATACCCTCTTTATTAATCGCTTCAATCTTTGCAGGGTAATATCGACAGTCTGTCCAACGAGCTAGGACTTCTTCTCCAGGTTTAAAATCCTATTTTATACAAATTTAGTCATTAATATTTTAATAATTTAGATTTTTTCCTAAAAAGAATTAAGCATTATGTGCTAGAGAGATTTAATGTAGGAAAACAAGTAGGACAGCTTAAAAAGAGTCAAAGACAAAATAAATGTGCCACTTACAACAAATTCTTCGTCGTCTTTCAGCCCTTCTTTCCTTAATGCTGGTCGCTCCAAGGGTCGCAACCTATTGCTGTCCCAGTAAATCCACTCGTCATAGCGATGACTCCAACGTTCAAAATGGACCAACATCTTGCCCTCTTCATAATCTATCTTCTCAATACGAGATGGATACCTCGAATGATAAATGTAAACTGATAAATCCCAAAGCTTTTTCCAGGGGTGTTTTTTTTTTTTTTTCTGCATACAACAGATCTTATGTGACTATACAGAAAGTTATACAAACACCTTGTACTGAGAAATCTCCAAGTCTGAAAAACATGAAGTTACTAAATTGGTAGTAGGGTAACATTTAATTTAAGAGTTATCTATACATATCAGTGATATGTCATCGGCTTTATCCTAGTCAGATGATTATACACAAATTTAAACCTCAAACGCCCAGATGAAGACAACCTGAAATTGGCATTAGAAGTTTGTGCTTATCAGTTTTAAAACCTGTGTTTGTTTAAAGAAAAATCCTATAACGGTGTGTGTTTGCTTGGGGATGGGAAGGTTATAAAATAGTTTTAGAAGTATATTCATTACTATTATCATATGAAATGTTTCATCAAACTATACCATTGATTCTAGAAAAATCCAACCATCTAATCAAACCCAGAAGTCAACAGAACACTCTTACTTAATCTAAGATGCTTACTAATTTATAGATCAGCTTCCACAATTTCACTGCCATTAAATTTGATTCATAGTAACTATTTTTTTAGCAATCATCTCTCTGTAATTCCACATGCACTAAACTAAATGTCAGTCTTAATTAATATATGGGTTTTACTCTCAGCAAACATTGTATGCGCTCAGTAGAACTAATGAGGACTGAGCTACAACCAGATCAAGTCTTAGGCATCTAATTTTGGGTGTGGCATAGATGTAGTTTAGGAACATAAAGTTTGAGAATACATTTGTAACAGCAATTATTGTTCAGTCTTACTATTTCTGTTTCACCGAAGTGAGACATTTCACAAAACTGTAGTAGGGGAGCAAGGCACAAACTGATTTTTGTCACACTACTTCTTCCATCAAAATTATGAGATCCCATTATTTCCACTGTATGAAATGCAGAGAAAACTGGAATGAGGCAGAATTCAGCTGCTTCTGCCCTTCACAAAAGTACGGAAATGGATTTAAAAGCGCAAAGAAACTCCTAAAAAAACAAGTTAATTATATCATCAATTTTTCTCCAGAGTTTATATTAGGGAGGGTCTGAAGTTAACAAAACATGTATTGAAACAAAAGACCAAAACAAAAGACCACAACAAAAGGGCAGCTGTCTTTCATTAAGAGCCAACCTGTTTTTCTAACAAAGTGCTACTGTGGAGCAACAGCAAGGAAGCAGAGCTTGAGCAACCGATTTCCAGTCCTACTGCAAATTCCATCAGCTAGAAACGCACACTGACATATACAAGAACCCAGTCAACATCTTCAATTTTGAAAACTTTCTCTCCAAAATACTGATGGTGATTATAAATGAGTGTTTAACACTATGTTCTGATTAAAATGTAAGTTCTCAGCAAGTACAGGCTTGCTTTATTTCCTAGTGACTAGAACAGGGCATTAAAACAAAAGGTGTCAATCTCAATTTACTCCTTCATTTTTCCAGACTTCTCCAGCTGCAGTGATGTATACAGCTTCCCAACATCTAAGTATCTTGGGATTTGCTGAATGAGAAAAAAATCCCTCCGATTTTCTACATTAATACTGCAACCACTTCAGTCACATTTCACCCTCACATCAGAATGCAGACAGTCCGACCTCTTACTGCATTTGTCTCATCCATACATTTCTGAAATGCAAAATATTTTCATAGCCATTCTTTAAGTTCTGAACTTCTTCTCACTGAACTTTAAAAAGAATAAACAAACAATCTCATAGCCTCAAATTGCACTCTCATTTGCCACCCTACTAACCAAATTTTTTTTCCAAGACAGAAGAACCCCATGGGATTTCTTTCAGAGAAACAACAAGATCAACCTCCTTTCCCCTCTCAAGTAGGCTGACAACAAACAACCTAATAAGAACCGTGAAACTGATGACATATTGTATCAAAACAAAGTAAAACTTGTAGGTCAAAACCTGAACCCCATCATCAGCATTCTGGTTTAACTTTGAACAAGCCTTCAAGAAAATTAGTCAGCCAAGACTAATTGGCTAATTTTTTTCGGTTTTCCTAAGCCCTGCCTCTGACGATGCTTTCTTTAGTTAAATTTACATGCTGCTACATTTAGGAATTGTATCATAAAATTTCTTACTATTTTTTTCATCTTCCCAAGTGTTCCAATTTCAGATACCAAGTGTCCGAATAAGCAGGAAGAGTAGCAAAGCAAAGGAAAAAGTAAATTTACTGTTACTACAGCAAATGTATGAGTAACGATGTCACCTAAAAGAGTTCCAAATAGAAGTAAAGAATGACACAGAAAGCATTTGACAGACGGAAGGAAAAACACCAGAAAAAGCAAGAGGACACGAAGTTTACTTCGTAGCGATCAAAACTGAGAGCTTGTGCACAAGCGCTGAAGCTGAGTAAATAACATGCAACACAAGAATGACGGTGCTCTTCTCACTGCAGTTGGAAATTTCAGGTTTATCCCATGCCAGCCAGGGAGTGATGCAAAACTACAGTTATTTTACAAAATTCAGGGACCATCAGCCAAAAGACAGAATCCTCCTTTTCCTACGCATCTCCAACACAAATACTCTGTTCCCATTACAGCACTATGCTATAGCAGTTCCCTTGTTACACTTTTATTGTTGTTACGGCTGGTAGCTTTCACAGCAAAGTCACCATTCCAAGCACTGCATGTAGAAGATAACAGAAGGGATAAACTGGTAAAATATGGTACGCTGTCCTGGAAAGAGAAAACTGAGTAAGAGGGGGAAGTAAAATACAGACTATAGTTTACATACAAATATGTAAAAATGACGGTATTTTTAAGAAAAACTCAGCAAGCCAAGAATCAAGATGTTAATACATACGGAAAAAAAAAAAAACACACAAAAGAGCAAAGCTAGCATCAGTTAATAAAAGAAGATATGCAAAATATTAAATCTCAGTAGGGATCACTCAGAGGAAATGCAGCACCAGGTGCTTATTGGTTTATTTCTCATTGATAAATACAATTCATACCACCAAAACCTTTTTAAAATGTCATTATCAGCTCTGAATTGAAGTCCATGATACTGATTTTTCCACAGTTATTCTTATAAGAATCATGAGCACATAATGGCTTTATTCCAATAATTTATGTTTCTTCAGTGTATGTCAAGACAGTGGTTGCAAGATGAATAAAGCAAAAACCTGCACTCAACTCCAGTCCTCAGAGATGGAAGACTTAGCAGATCTCTGAACCACCCAAGCTATACGCAATTGGTTATTAGGCAACCCAAAATTAACTTTGTATGGATTTAGCAATAAGATATTACCCTCAATATCCACTAAAATTATCCACACAATGTGCCACAAATATGTATAAACAGTAATATTTCACAATACTCATCCCACAGTGGAAAAGAGCAGAGCATACGTATTGCAGAATTTGCTATTGCAAATTTTACACTGCACAGAAACATTTTTCTGGTGTTACAGTCTTTGTACTTTTACCGAAAATAGCCAGTTTCATAAATTGCAAAATTATACAAATATTTCAAAGGCAGGTATGAAACTCCTGCTAATAAAAGATAAAATGGCAACGTGAATTTTTTAATCTGCCTTAAGAATCCTAGTAACAGTGCACACAGGAAAGCTTTTACTATGGCCAAGTGCAATATTTATATTTATTCTGAAAAGATACTAACATAAAGATGATCACATCTAATACATGAGAAATTTTATTTAGAAGTCCCTTCCATTGCAAAGCTACAAGTAGGCCTTATGAAGAAGCACTACAAAGGGGAATACAAACATCACTCTACAGTACCGAAGTGTAGTGATGTCTAAGCCCCAACAACCTTTCAGTCAGGTTAATTCTCCCCATTCGCCCCCAACAAATACTCCACATCAATGGATCAAAATTAATTTGGTATACAAACAGATGTGCCAACATTTGTTCAGCACAAACCAGAAAAATACACTCTAAAAAACTGAGGAAGAAGTCTTTACTTTTCGGGGGGAGGGGGTAGATAAAAAAACCAAACACCAGACCACCGCACTCCAACAATGAAAGTGTTCTTTTTTGAAAAGAAACAATAACCTGCAAGTTTTGGGTGCACTTTTTTTAATAGCATGCTGGAAATAGTATTTACTAATCCCAAAAAAAGTCTCTCTTTTTTGTTTGGTTTGTTCTTTTTTTTTTTTTTTCTTTCTTAGAGAGTAGGAAAACTATTGTTAGGTGATGGTATCTGCCCATTTACCTACTGCATGCTCTCCATTCTCATGTTCCAGTGATCCTAACCCATAAGAATTATACAACATTTTTGTAAAGCTGCAAAATTTAATATGGCTTACAAAATTTACACCATGAAGCACTGGTCTGACAACAATAATGCTCCAACATTCATATAGTAAAAATTAATGGGAAACTTCCAGTTTTCATTTCTTGACAGGGTACAAAAACAACAAAAAAAACATTTTCTCCAATGCACTCAACAAATATTAATGGCCACACAGACAATATTTTTCATTTTTACATCATCATCTTCCTTTTGACCCTTCAAAAGTGACCAACAAGTGGTGAATTACCATGTTAGGTGGGACAAGTTATTTCAAACTGTAAAAATGGATGCAAAAATGTTAGTAACTTTGCCCAAGTTTGCACCTACAAAGTGTAGAAACTGATATAGTTCCTGCCTTCACAATAATGGTATAAAAGGTTCCTTCTACCTCACAGAGGATGTAAAACCAAATACCCTCCATTCTGACTTCTTCACAAATAGTCTTCTGGTATCTGCAAAAATCTTTTTCTAACTCCCCACCTTTTATTATATATATTTTGTATTGTATCAATATAAAGCAGAGTCTTCACAGTCCTTTCAAATACCTGGCTGCCAGGTAACCCAGTCAACTGAAATCCAAAGCAAGGACTGTACAAAATAAGATTCCCCAGCATCTTACAGGAAACAAGCTTCCTCCATACTGGGGGGCGGGAAGGAGGAATCCATCCCAATCATCAAATATACCAAGACAAAAGAGCTGCTATTCTGATAACTAACCTATTTTAGTGAGCTGTTTCCATTCCAGAACTGCAACAAGGGCTATATATCTGTACTTACTTCATTACCGAACTTAGAGTTTTGATCAAGCAGATTAATAAAGACTATGGTCTCACAAAAATAACAGTTGTTTGGTTGAGTTTTTTTTCAAAGTGGTATCTGGCACTTACAGGACAACCAGGAGAGCTAGAGCCACAAAGGATACAAAAAAACAGGAAAAAAAAAGGAAGACATGCATCTTTAAACACACCAACCTTGCAGAAACTGTGTCCTACTTGTGAGAGCTAACAGCTTAAGAACCAGTCTTACACATGGGCACATACTTGCAGATATGTGCAGTTTTACTGCTATGCCATTTACTTTGTCAGTGACAGGCATGAGGGAGTATGTGCACATGTATCAGTTTTTGTATAAGATCATAGAATAATTTGAGTTGGACACGACCTCAGAAAGCCTCTAGTCCAACCTCCCACTCAAAGCAGGGTCAGCTATGGGACCAGACCAGGTTTTCCAGAGTTTCATCCAGCCCAGTCTTGAAAACCTCCAATGCTGGAGACTCCACAAACTTTTTGGACAACCTGATCTACTGCTTGACTGCCCCATGGGGAAAAAGATTCTCCTCAACCTAGCCTGAATCTCTCATTTCAACTTGTGCCTGTTGTCTCCTGTTCACCAACCATGCACTACTGAGAAGAGCTTGGCTAAGTCTTCTTGATACCCTGTAGGTATTGGAAGGCTACTGGTGGGTCTCCTGAAGCCTTCTCCAAGCTAAACATGTCCAGTTTCCTCATCCGCTCTTCACAGGTCATATACTCCAGTCCCCTGATCATCTCATACATATATTTAATGTTTTTCTATTATCAGTCAATCCCATCTCATTTACTATCTGCTGACAGATGATCACATTCATTTTGATTAGAGCTGCATTTCATAATTTGCTTTAGTGAATTTAAATTTAACAAGTGGCACAAATTCATTATGTAAGATGACCTCCCCTGCAACAGTATACTGTTTTTCACTTGATAAAGAAGCAATTATAGTTACCTCCACAATAAAACAAAAATAAACACGCTCATTGACAGCCTGTCTTTGCTAATCAATTTGACCAGGTTTTCTTCTACTCAGTTATCATACTTGTCAAATGATACCAGTGACCCAAACACTGCCTGCAAAAACTTCCTTATTTAGAATTACAAGGGGTTTAAGCAATATATAGTCAAGGTACACAATAACCTCTCCAAAGTTCACAAAATTCAAACAGAATACCAGATTCCATGAGATGAATTTCAGCAACTACTACACAGATGGAAATTTGAGACCTACAGTAGTGTCCCAGAAAGCAAAAAAATACAGCAGAACTTGACTGTATTTTTTCCCATCCTCTAGAAGCCTTTTTTCATTCACATTTTAATTGGTCATGAACACCAGGTCTTTAAATAACAGCAGGCTTTCAGAAATATGGAGAGGGGGAAAAAAAAAAATCAAAGGCTATTTTTCATTAAGTGTTCTCAATTTGTTGCTTGTAGAAAGACTGAGCTAAGCAATACTACTGCTTTTTAATTTTGGTTTTGTTAGAAAATATAAAGAGGTTTCATGTAAGTTCAGCAACTTTATTTTCTCTGAAGTATGTTCTATTTCTGCATGCAGATGAGGGGAATGCATACAGCTTATATATAGAAAGAATTTAAAAAGCAGCCCACCACTCCCTTATGCAACAGAAAGCTAAGGGGAAAAAAAGGTCACATAGATTATTACTCCAGCCCATGTCACCGTAATAATAACATCACAGTAGGCTTTCTCTAATAAGCTCTTGGGTTATGTGTATGAATATCATTTCATTTGAAAGAGTCCTGTTTTCAGAGCTACTTTAACTGCAAAATTTTAACATTGACTTTCTGCTCCTGTATATGGCACCACAGAAGTTTACATGCATATAAACTTGACCTGTTCTACATGGTGGTCCAGATGATGAATCAATTCCTAGAAAGTTCAGAATAAATTCTATTCTGCCTGATAATACCATGCAACTCAGCTGCAGAGCTTGCAACAGGGCCCATGACCGACAAGGCCAAACCTAGACAAGTAGTCCAGAACCTACCCGCAACCCTTCCCTGTGAAAACGCTGGGCAGATCTGATACAAACTACACACTGGATATTGTGATTTTTTTTGATACCATTAAGCTGAAACTATTTTTACGTATTAGTGTTATCTAGCTACATTAACCAATTACTTCTAGTCACAGGAAATGCTATGAATAGTTCTATTATTTTTATAGCACTACGCAGACAGTTTCGTGATCTTAGCATTCAGTTACAGAATCACTCTGTTGAAAACCCACTCTACAGCAATAGACAAGAACAAGAACTGTTCCTTTAGAGACCATTTATTTAAAGAAAACACAACAGTATTTTTGCTGTAATTAAAACATCAAAGCTCTACAGATAAAGAAGTTTAACTCAACTTTTTATACAGAGCATATAACTACTGAAGTAAACATGTAAATAATACTCTGACTTCTCTGTCACATAACTTGGAGTTATCAGGATCAGGTATTTACATGAACATGTTCAGTCCTCCAGGAATGCAACAGAAAAGCATGTACAGGCCTCTACACTCCCTAACCCTAATTAATCAGAGAGCAGCTACAAAAAAAAATTCTGGGTAGAAATATCAACTTCCTGTGTCACCTACTTCAACAAAACCAGTGATTTTCCGAACTGAAAACAGCATGGCCGGCATACATCATGAAATTAGCCCACTTGCATTAATAAAATTTTGACTAACAATTTATTTCAAAAGAGTAACTCCTTTCACAATACATATGCTGTGTAGCACGGCCTTTGTGTGCAACATTTCCATTTTATAGCCTTGACCATAATATAATTTGACTCAAAATATGACTGGGTAGTGCAGACTCACAGTTTTAAGCACTTCATTCCTCCAACTGGTTGATACAATTGTACTTACCTATTCCCTGAACTCTGATTAAAGACGTTTTCTTTTTTTAAAAACAGTTTTGTGAACCTATAAAGTGTGATAACTGAGTACAAACCGAATTTGCATGTATGCCTTCAAACTAAAACAAAAGAAGTCTTTAGTCACAGAAGTTTGCCACCTTAGCACACCTATCATCTTGCACGTGACACTGCATTCCACCCTACTCTGGAAATGCTCTTTGTTTACTACAGTGGCACAAGCAACTAAAAGCAAACGAACAAAAACCCACAGAAAAGTTTAGTTCAGTTTCTGAAGACAGAATATTTTCCTAAGAGCTAATAGTTTTAACAGACATCTTATGTAGAAATTCATAAAGTTCACATGTGAAATGGCCAATTAATAAGTGCACTCAGTTTTATAACTGGACATCAGAACATACAATACACACAAAATAATTTTGCTTTTATAATTTTATAAGATAGACTGCACAATGTCTTCCATACCATTTTTGTAAATAGTCCAGTGCCTCCAAACGAGCACCAATCTCAAAGGTGATTCCAGGACGATTTGGAGGCTTTTTACTCATCTTGGTATCTTCTTTTTCTACTACCTTTGGAGGAAAAAAAAAAAAAATTATTAAAACACATACTGTCATCTAAAATGTGTCCCTGACAGCAAATATATTCCAGAGGATGGAAAAAAAATGTGAAATTTCTACCTTGGCTTTCCATTAACTGTTTAGTTTTCAGAAGTATAATCAAGGCCCAAAGGAGGCATTAAATAAAATTCATGTATTCTTATTCAGATTTCTTTCTGTCCCAGGATAAAGAAAAATAATAAACTGGTGCTCATCTCTGGAACTGTACTACACTGCAATTCCTTCACACCCCTTTGGAGCATAATTTTAAGAGTTACCTAGAGTCAATGGGTGTTCTCCCCTCTGCTGTGGAAAAGGTCAAACCCAAGAAAAATGTACCTTACCAAGAACCGAAACTGAAAGATAAACATAGCCTAAAGGACAGGTAAGATGCAATTAGCAGAAACAAAAATAAACAAACAAAAAAAGCCATCTTCAGCCTTTCTATGCACTCTCAAGTCTCATTCACAGCACTAGGTAAGTTTCATTCACCAGTGCCCTTTAATGCTTTTTTGATAATTGTCACTATCGCTTCTCTGCCCCACTACTTTCGCGATGATCGTGACTTTCTGATGTACCCCCTTTACCATCCCGAAGCACAGACTGCCTTGCCGTTGGGGCCGCAGGCTGCACGCCTACTGAGGTGCAAGGCTGTCGGGCTGCGGGGCCGGAGCCTGCTCGCCCCGGAGCGCCAGAGGAGCGGCAGCCGGATCCCCGTTTCTGAGAGGGGCTCCCCTGCCCACGCTCAGAGCGCGATGGGGCCAACTGCCTCGGAGGCGAGGGCCGGCTCGAGGAAGCCCGGGCCGCTCCCCAAGCGCAGAGGACACAAAGGGGTCCTCCCCAGTCAGGCTC